GCGTATAAATTACGGTTTCACCGGTGCAACTGCTAGCATAAACAAGGTTTTGCGTTCGGCGTAAGTACTTGGATAGTTGGATTTGTCTCACATTTTGATCACTTTAAGTTTACGGTTTCATATTTTGGTCACCCAGTGCTAAGGTTCCCTAACAACCTAAAACACCAGAAATGAACAGCTTTCATAGTAAAGCTTCGCCCATGAATTTCGAAGCATGGAAAAAATTCCCCTAAGTAAACCAACTGAAGAACAGAAATTGGGCAGGGTGCCATGTATAAGAACCGCTCTTCCACGTTTAATAATTTCAGTAATTTAAAATTCCAACATTATCAATCTGTTCTGATGACTACAGATCATGAAACGCTAATCAAGGAGAACATAGTGCGATCAGCAGCTGTTCATGTAGTATGCCAGAATGGGGGGGGGGGTTCGAAGAAGCACAAACTAATTTACGTTTAAGAAGGGCAAAGTGGCGTTATTACTCGTGGAAAAGTCACACATACAGTACCTTGGGCACTGCATGACTGCATTAACACAGCAACTGTTAATGACGGGTGAATTTATATCGCCGAACTGTAGTGACCTTTGCACAGCCGGATCCGATTAATTTGTAACAGTGTTGCTATGGACAGAAATGTGATTTAACGAAATATTTCTTGAAAATTCCCCAAGCATCCGAAGCATGGCAGCGCAGTCGTCAGGTTTTTCACGGTCAGCCATCTCAGAAAACAACAAAATGTAACTGACAACGGCTCCGGCTGCCTGCAAAATATTGTGAATTTGTGTCACTGAGTTATCAACAAATAACGAAAACGTTTATTTTTATTTACGGTTGTTCAAAATCCACTCACAGCTGCAAGTGACTCCCTTGATACCAAAACACCCCCGATAGTGCTCACGGCCGGATTTCGTTGGTACATGTCTGTGTATGCATGGAACGCTTCATTATGTCCATAGGGAAGCCGTAGGATCAATGACGCCTACGATATAATTATGAACTGATCAGTTCAAGCGATAGCCAAGCAAGGAACGTATACCGGAATGTGACTAAACCATCGTGCTACCGAAGACCACTTACTTGCTCATTAACAAACACCTGCGCACAACCGCTGACTGTTAAGAGGTAGATATTCTCCGCAACCAGTAAAACATGCTCCATCTTAACGGCATGGTTAGCGTTGTAATCAGCTGCCGCTTCGTGGGCGAAATAAACGGTCATCGTTAAGTACTGCAGGAACAAAACGGCATTCACCGGTGACATGATTGAATCGAATTTCCGGACCAAATTCGCTGCCTCCCCGTGTTCTACCAGCAACGAATGAACTTTTTTATCTGACTGTGGTGACTTCAGTTCTTCCTTGAGGTGTTCGGTGATTTTTCGACATAATTTGCCGGCGAGCACAGCAAAAGAAATTTCAAAGCTCAGCAGAAGCGATCGACCAGCATGTTGCATTTGATAGAGGAAACAGTAAAGAACATACAGGAATTTGTATGCACTGAAACTGATGTAAGGCCTCACCAAGGCGTAATCTTCGTAGAAGTCACTTCTCACCACGGAAGGAATTTCGATGCTCACGACATATACTGCCACAAAAGCCACTGCGACGCAAATGTTGGCTGCAATAACAGTGTATAAGTGAAATTTGTCCCGTTTATCAAGAAAAAAGGCACCTTTTGAAGCAACACTCATCGCACACTCTCGAATAGGTTTGCTGGCTCGCCAAAAAATCACGAAACAAAACAATGCAGAACCGATCTCAGACACGTACGTAAGGAAAAACAGAATCGCGGCGCTAAACGAAGTATCAAGATCGAAGTCTTTGTAGATTTCGTTGTAAAAGGAATATATCAAGGCCGCAACTTGTGATGTGCCGAGTACAACCGTTAAAACTTTTCGGGCGCATGAACCGAATGCCGATTCGTGGGGGGAATGGTTGAGGAAACCAAATATCTGCAGCGTAACAAGCCAGAAATTCCAAAGTAGATACATTATAAATTGCAGGAGTTCCTGAACGATTTTGCACGAATGTGCACAGATGCTAATTGACCTTGTACAGTTGTGGCTTTCAGTATGCGCGGTGATGATTCTATGCAATTTCACTTTAGCCAGCTTGGGAGATCCGCATCGGTCAAACTTTTGGCCCTACATATCTCTAGAGAAATTTTGTTATCAAAATAAGCGTGAATTCCATGTAGAAATGTGATTCTGTCTCTCCACCGTGTCTCCACACCCATTACAGCAATACGTCCTGCTCGGCTCTGAGGGAATGCGACAGACATTCTGTGAATCATTGTGGGCACATGGTGCAGGTGGAAAACCAATGCGACTAATATTCTTGACTGATTGCTGATCGCACATCAGCTGATTACATCACTGGACACTTGGCGCAATGGCAGCGCAAACGCACCCTTTTGTGGTTCGCGCTGAGCGAGCAGGTGGATTTGATGTTTTGTCACTCGTTAAACACTTCAGAATTTCCCAAAACCGATTACCTATGGTAGACCCCATAATTTGGGTTGTAAACTTGTAGGTAAACAAAGCAGCTTAGCAGTACGGAAATTGTCTATTGTTTGAAATGTACTTACATATGGCGAAGCGATCAGTTGTTAAAAATTGCTGTATTGGCAATCAAGAATTGTTACGTCTTTCATGGGCTGCGAAAGCCAACCTACGCATCGCCTTCTACTTGATGTCACACTACACTTTGGGTATTTATAATGGTATCTAGATTAGACTGCTAATGCGCTTTTCCCTGTTGAGTTCCTCTACTACAGCTTCTACTGGTGAAAGTAGCAACGTTGCAGATTGCATGAAACACCAATTGTCGATACTTTTCATATCCTGAAACTTATTGCTTGGTTATTATTAACCTACTCGTAGTAAAAGGTCTCATACTCCCTTAATGCGAGCGGTCGGTTGTCTTGTATTTTGCACTTATACGGCATACACGGCACGTGGGATTAGCATGTGAACACTGAAGCTGCAGAATTAGCGGCGGTAATCAAACTCGTATTTTTTAAGATATTCAATACGACAGTACAGTGGTGTGAAGACCTACCAACACGTTTAGACAGTAAACGCATACAGATTACTTCCCTACAAATTTCTTCGCGCAAAATCGCAACTGTTTAGCGGAGGGGAGGGAGCAAGATGAAAAAAGCGGCAAAAGAGGTGAAGGAAATACGGTTTTTAAAAGATGGGAAGGGAATGAAAAAAAAACGGGGGATAATTTTTTTTTGTTCCTGAACAGGAACACACCAAACCGCACCGTTTAAGCACCAGAAAATTGTTTTTTTTGCGCTCTGTGCAATTTTAAAACCAACATTACGTCAGTTTTAGTAAAAGCCGGAAACTGGTTTCGCCCAGTGCGGATCTCGTACGCGTACAGGCTTGGCCGACTCCTATACTCACGCAGTTCAAGACATTTAAGTCCATCATTAAACTCAACACCAAAATTAGTGGTTGATTTCAAAAAAGGAGTGATGATAGCCCGCAAAGGTGAGATGGGCTAAAAGTTGAACTAGCCGGGGATGGGCAGGGCTGAAACTTACTTACACGGTGCAGGTGAAATGGGATAAAACATCAAAAATTTGAAAATCAAGTTTGAGTCCGTTTACTTACAGCGTGATTTGCAGCTACTTTTGCTTCTGTTTACCGGCTTCATTCCTGCTCTCCATCCTGCTCCTAACTGCAAAGCTTGCAAAAGGAAATATCTGTACCATTTTTTATCGAATCTCTAGCAATTTAACCCGTCAATCTGCCCGTTGGCTTTGCGCTTCGCGCGAAGTGGTCATACGGTCGAATTTACCACGTGTGTATAAAGATGTCGTTTCTCCAGACAACTTCTACGAACGTCATCTCGAAACAACCATCCAGAAATTCGGCAAAATTTAAGTATCTTCGGATGGATGAACATTGTCTTCGGACGGACGAACATTCCAAAGTGTGTCTTTGCATGGACAAACATTCCCAAGTGAGAGGACTAGGAGCTTCGCATTCCTTACGGCTTTGGAACGAAATTAAACTTCCCGTGGAGTCGTACTCGAGCATCGTTGCGTTCTGCTCCAGTTTGGACTGTGTCAATTGGACAGCTTTAAACTGGACTAAACGTTTTGTAAATGCTGACCACCATTCTTTACTGTAAATTATTATTTTTTAACTATTCAGAACGAGCGATGTGCCATATCGCTGGTACACCTCCGCGCGTTTAAACATTTGCAGTTTTATTTCACTAATAACTCCCGAACCGGATGTTGCGCGCGCGAACGGATTTCACGCCTACGTATACAAATCCTTTGGTTATAAAATGTAATACAGCAATCCAAAAAAGTATTTAGATGGTCTGAAGGTGCCGATTGAGTCGCGATGGAAAGCTGGTTTGAGCGAGAAATGTGGAAAAAACCGGTACTATTTTCCGTTAACATCCGCAGATTTATTTGATGCCAGACCGATGATCAGAATGACGATGACGGATCAGAAACTAACAAAATGCATAAAAAGAACCAGGAGCGAATAGCCAAAATAAGACTTCAAGGCGGAGGCGATTGTCACCAAGTAGAACTGAGATTGAATCTTAGAGATTCATTTTAAGTAGGGTCTAAAGGTGGTGAGAGGTGGTGGGAAAAGCCACACACAATTATTAATGGTCGCGAAATAATTTCAAAATAACTAAGCAAGGAATTGTAGTGACGGCAAAGTGTCGACGGTAATTTATGTTTTAACAGCTAATTAACGGTAAATGCTTTTCGAACGGCGTTTTTAACGGTAAACTGGGACGGTAAAAGTATTCACTGCGGCAAAGGTAAAGGCAAATTTTGAAAAAGGTAAAGTAAAAAGGCAAGGGGGCGGCAAAGGTAAAGTTGGCCGACCCATTCGCGCTTCGATGGAATGTGTTGCGGTGCTGCTGTATACATTGGAAAAACGAAAGGTCACAGTAACCTGGTCATCAGATCCAGGTATATTTGCAGCTAGCGGAATCAACAAAACACCAGATCGCGGGCTTAGTTTATTAAAAGTCGTTCTGAACAGAAAACACGAAGCAAAACTACAGTAGAGACAGATTAGTAACACAATATAAATAATTACAAGTTGTCAGCACCCATGAATCATAATAAAGGCGATATCAGCAGTTGAAATCCATTGATTTTTATTTTCATTAACAACCACGTAGTAGCTTGTATACTCGTATGTTTTTTAGATGATTACGCATTAATTCGCAGTACGATAATTAGTATTTTTGTTTCCAAAAGTAATTAAACATTGTCATTACTATTATCATTATTGGTCTTATTTTTATTATTATAAAATAGATCCCGTAAGGATTGTCGTTCCAGTCGTTCCGGGTGATGGGTTCATCCCACTGAATTGGCGCATGGTTCTAAAATCCACCAGAACAATGGAAAAGAGCGCACTAAACTGACTGACAATTATTTACCTGTTTTCAATAAGTTTAGCATTTCATGGGCCGAACTTCTGGTTTCCGGCTTAACGAGCAAACATTTTGCAATGCATTCTGCTAGACGCGTCGGAACAGCAGGATCAACATACATAGAGTAGCCTTCCTCCAGCAATAATTTAGCGTATGCCCATGTTGTCATGTTTGCCCCGATTATTTTCAGGTCGGTACCGTCCTGGTCCATTTTGCATAAATACCTATTGCTTTCTCCAATAATACCCTCAGCTAAATCCAAAATAATGCAGCCAAAGCTCCAGATATCCACTTTGCGTCCCAGTATCTGATCTATCGGAAGCGTGAGAACTTTCCGAAGAACCTCTGGAGCCATGTAGTGAAGACTGCCATAGAGATTCTCCGCGTCAGCCGCACAGGAAATATACCGCTGCATAGGTATACTACCGTCTAGGTCGCCAATCACTAACCGATTGGAATGGACCAACACATTTGAAGGTTTCAGATCTCCGTGTATAATGTTGTTGTAATGCAGAAACGATAAACCGTCGGCGATCTCCGTTGCATAACTTATAGCTGCTTGTAATTCCAGCCGTGAATCGTTGTTCCTGTATTGTTTCAATAATTTTGAAAGGTCACCACCATCTGAAAATAACATGACGTTAAAAATTGTACATCAACACAAAAAAATTATTAAGGGCTCGTCCCGAATTCGAAGCGAATCTCGTTTCGATACAGCAACTCCACCTCGCGAGGTGGCTTCGCGTACCGTATCTGTAGGCGTGGCCACTGCATACAGCCACCTCGTGCGGTTGAGCAACCGTACCATAGCGAGATTCGCTTTGAAATCGGGACGAGGCCTAAGTAACAGAACATAAACGATAAATTAGAACAATTCTAAATGTAAACAATACTCACATAAATAAAAATTTGATAATTACAGTATTCATAGAAATAAATTGAGCAATAATTATATTTTCGACAAATTTTTATCTATGAAATTTCGTAACATTTTATTTAACAACAGTTGTGCTTATGATGCATGACGTGATTTGCATCTTACTTTACTTATTTTTATTGTAACAAATAACTCCTTTGAAATATCATAATTTTGATTTTTTTCTTTAATTCAGTTGTAGAAGATTTAAAGCGACAACCTTATGCCTTTTGTACCGCAAAGATGCATGACAATTTGAACTTGTCTTTCGCTGCTAGCGGAGACTACAGCGATTTTATGGTAGCGAACGAGATTCAAATGCGAGAGTTCCGATAGTATTCGCAGTCGTCGGCACCAACTAATCCAGGCTGCTGTATCCTCCATATCTGCTCGTAGCGGGAAAACCTTTACGGCAACGGATGACATTAGTGGTTCAACAGCGCCATCAGTTGTTTTTGCACTGAACACGTTTCCAAAGGCGCCGTTTCCAAGTAGGCCATGGAAGTTGTAACGGCAATGCTTGCGACCATACAAGCACACTTCCTGGTTCCCCATGTTTTGCACTGAGCTCTGAAACAAATTTCAGAAAAAAATTAGCACGTGTTCCGGTGTGCGCACTTAATGTTATTAATATTTATTCCGGCATACAGCATTACTATCTAACTGATTACGTAATTACTTCTTTACTATAAAAAGATTATCTGTGTTGTTGAAATTTTAGTATTTTTATTGCTGTCAAAATTATACCCTATCTGTATTTACTTGTTGATGTACAATTTGAATTTAACAAAACACGAATAAAAAATAAAATATAAAAAAATATAATGAGTAAAAAAATAAATAGAAAAAAAAGGAAACTAGCTTCATACAAAAAGACAAATGCTATTCGGACACTGCAAAGGTTGTACCAAACATGACACCCTGCCTAAGGAAACCATTCCGCTGTAAATGAATTACTGCTTACTAGAAGTTGTATGTAACGCGCTACAAACGGATGTTCGCAGATTTCCAGGTAAACATCGATGGTTTCTTGGCCGAGATCCATGAGCATTTCGTAAGCACTGCGCACCTGATCCGCATCGGCCGCTGCACCTTGCCGTCGCTTATCCATCATATTGTTTCGCACTTTATTACGAATTTCTTCATGATAAACGATGTTATCCCGAAAGATCCGAATCCCTAAATCTTTTATATTGTCCAAATTCGCAATCTTTACGTATACTCTATTCTGCAAGAAATATTTTCGAGGGATTTCTGAGAAAATCAATAGTTTCCGTTAGGGCTCTCGACATCTAAAAGTAACGAACTTACGAGGTATTCAAAAATACCATGAATGATCAAGTTACAATATTTAAAATGGTTCCACGAGGCACTCAGTGCGGCAAGGAATTCGTCTTCCGAAAGCCGAGCAATATTTTCGCGGACCTGTTTAAATCAGCATATTGATTGCCAGAATGCCTCTCTACGAAATAACCTCTCTATTACTGCCTCTCTATGAGAAAGCTTCATGCATTCGAGCAGTGCTACATACCTACCTGTCCGAGATGTTCAGTTATTAGGCTTTGCAGCTGCCCGTACAAATTCTTGCAGTCGCGCAGAAACATTCTCACCATTAACCCCTCAGCAATACGACCCGTTGACACCCGATTACATTCCGTAAACATTGCGTAAACGAGACTATGCTTGCTCATGGCTTCGCGCCCAGTCATGCGCGCACCCTCAGCCAGTAGCAGCTGACGGAGGCGATCCATTAACTGCAAAAAATTGACGTTTTTCTGCTTGTTTTTTCAAAGTTAAACCACCATACTTCTACTGTCGTCTTTCGTGGAACATATTTTTTATTTATACAATACATCGGCTAGTAATACTGAAAGCACTACAAACGCCTTATTTCCACTCGTAGTTGTACGCACCATAGACAAAAAAACTCCGACGTTTTCACGGGCGCAGATGTTATAGATCGCTTACGAAGGCGATCGTAATTTTGATTATCAAAAATTGCTTGTTATTTTATATACATATTATTATATTGTTATACATATTATATATATTTAATGATTCCTACCGCTGGCAGCTCGTTCATCCAAAGATCTTTCTTTGATCTATTTGCGAGGCTCATTGTGAAATACACAGTTTTATAAGGATGCGTTCTGTGATACCACACACAAAAATTAACAAATTTGTAGCCAGCGCTTATGTGATTCCTTTCTGCACGCTCAGCGAACCAGTCAGCCGGGGATCATAGCAATCGGATTTTGTTTTCTGATAAAAGCCATGTGCGAAGTACCACCTGAAACTGGCATAAGTGCTATGTCATAAAACTGTTGCCGAAGCGCAGTCCGCTATAATTTATGCTACATGAAATAGATTTTTCTTGGCCTGCACAGACTGCAAAACGACACATCACACTACTATGATTCATATTTTGCCATGCGGTGCAGAAACAGTCATGCCTTCTTCGAATCGATTGATTCACTCGATTGATTAGTCAGCAATGACAAGCAGCGTATTACAGTTTACTAAATCACGAAGACAACAACAAAATCTGATTTTGCGTGTCTTTGGCACAAACATTCAGTCCGTTTCCTAATTTTTGGTTCCGGCTTATACTGTAGCGATTGTGACTGTATGCGCAGCAGTACACTGTGCAGTGTGACAGCAGTACACTGTGCTTGTTGTACTGCTGCTGCACACTGATCTTAAACCGAAATTTTTATTCTTATTATAAATGCAAAGTAGTTCTACTTTCTTAGCTACAGTCATATCGTTTAACTGGCAGTTGTCGGCACGAGTTTTTCCATGTTGAGGGTTCATTTTGCACTTCAGCACGCAACAGGAATACTTTCACTGCAACGGAGGCAGTTTCCAGCTTGTTAAGACCGATTAGCTACATTTGCCTTGAACTCTCTTCCCAAAGTGCCGCTCCCATGGCAGTCGAATGAATTGTACCGATACTCCTTGTGACTATATAAGCAGACTTCTTTTCTCCCCATGTTTCAAACCGAACTCTGAAATTAATCCCAGATTAAATAAGGAGAAAAAACTTTAAAGTCGTAGCGATATCCGCCTGGAACAATTTTGTAGCGGTTTATATCAAGAAAGGCTAAGTCAATGCTTTACAATTTTTCTAACATTAAGAGAAAATAAACGTAAGCAGGTAGCACCACTTCAGTTAAAGTCAAGCTAGACAACCACTAGTCACTACCCTCGTTTTCATGCATACCAACAACTGGGCACAATGCACAAAGTAAGGGCGTTCGCAATGAAAAAAGCAACGCATGTCTAAAGCAGTTTGAAGGGACTGGGCGTAGCTGCATACCGATGACAATATTTTGTTAGCATGTATACAGTGTTGTATTTACTATTGGTCCCGCGGCTTGGCCTAGACTCCAACTCTGACTCTGACTCTGATTCTGACCACTCAAACTCTGACTCTGACTACTCAAAGTCTGACTCTGACTACTCAAAGTCTGACTCTGACCGCTCAAAGTCTGACTCTGACTCTGAAGGTTTCTTAGGTTTCATAGGTTTCTTAGGATTCTTAGGTTTCTCAGTTTTCTTAGGTTTCTTAGGTTTCTTAGGTTTCTTAGGTTTCTTAGGTTTCTTAGGTTTCTTAGGTTTCTTAGGTTTCTCAAGTTATTCTTAGTTTATTCAGTCAGAGTCAGAGTTTGGACAGTCAGAGTCAGACTTTGAGTAGTCAGGGTCAGAGCTTGAGCGCGGGCCCCGCGGCTTACTTACTTTTTACTTTTCGTCCTGCCGTCGATGTTACCATTTACTTTCCTTTTTACTTTTCATAATCTTCCGGTATTACTATAACTTACTTTTTACTTTTCTGTCGATGCCTTAACTTACTTTTTACTTACTTAGTAATTACTAGTAAAATAGTATTTACTATTCGTGTTAGGCTTTTACATGAACCGCGTACGCAGTAAAGATTTTAATAAATGCAGTCTTTGTTTTCACAGAGCGGTAAATATAAAAATCATTAGTTGAACTCCCATTTTAATAGAACGCAGAAATATGGTACTTCGACTATAGTATTTTTCCGTCGAATTGATTTTGTTTTTCTTAAAGTTACCGTGTTTGACAAATCGACTTATACTTGTAAAATAATGCATGGCACCACGATAGTGAATAAATTAGCAACATTTCATTAATAATCGAACGCATTTACTATACGAGCACGGATTATTATTGATACAGTCCATCCGACAGTCACGTATTAAACTCGAGCATCAAGCGCTTGATAGCGTCAGCGCTGCAGCGAAAATTTAGCGCTGCAGAAGTAAACCTGCATTGCCAAACGTAAATTTCACGAAAATTTGACTGTCACAGAGTTTTGGTACTGTCGGCAGCCTTTTATTTGTTACCTTGGTGAAGTAATCGGCGGCTGCTGTCCCCAGTATTTTTTGTAGGTTCGTTCCAAATTGTTGGCGGCTAGACGACATGTGGTAAAATGCGGAGAAACGCACTCCTGACGCTAGTTTATCCAGGTGGACTAGAATACGAAATGAGTCAGCAGGTAGGAAGATAGCTACAGCGTCTTCGAAACTGAAGTTTCTCCATTCGTGTAGAATGGTTTCCTCATGTTCTAGTGTTTTTCGACGGGCATCCGGTTTTCGATAAAATTCTCCTTGGCTCTCACACATCTATTCCACCACGAATACGAAATAGAACGTCTAGACCAGCACATCAAAGCGACCTTGTAGTCTAACACTGCTTGCCCGTGCTTCTTATGTACGTGTTGCGGAGCTTACTTCCCAGCTGATAGCTCTGCTGGCCCCAATATTCATTTTCTCCATTTCTCCTCCATTCATTTCCTCCATTTTCCTAGTATTCCGGATCCGGATCCGTGCTCCGTAAATGTGACCTGTATGTCATTTAAATTCATTTTTTCAGAGGGAAATAAATCTATGCGTTTTTTTAAAAAAAACGCTGATGACGAAGGCTGTAAGTTTCTACTGCTTAGCTTCCGCTTACAGCATGCACAGAAACGCTGTTAATACCAAAGCTTATACGCTGTTAATACCAAAGCTTCTGAAAAACAAAAATACATAGTTCTGAAAAACTGTGATGTTTTTAATTATTGATTAAGATGTTGTACCACAGGTGAATAAAGAATCAAAATACGTTTGTTGTGCTAATTATGTTGTCTTAATTTGCGCGTGATCTGGTAGCAATGATCTGGCCTGGTAATTCTCGGGTACGCAGTGTATTGTGATCTGTGTGTATCATGTGAGTCAAAGACTGATCGCACCTTCCGGGCCATGCATTTAAGCGCATGTTTGTGTTACGATAGTAGTTCTAATCAGACCTGGGTAAAGATTTGGCTGATGTTTTGTCTGAAGTGGGGCACAACGCTCCGTTGCGCGCCCGTGAAAGATAACGCGAGTTAGTCACCACAACATTCTCAAGCCGAAAGCTAACGGCTGCGCTTATTGGTCCGCTACGTGATCCACAGATGAATTACAAAACGGAGCTTCGAGGCTGCGTTTTCTATTTCACACACACTTTCACCTCCGTTGCTCACCAGGTCAGCATAGCCAACACCGGCCCAACAGAGCTTTATGTACTAGTACACAGTGGTCACCCGTAACATAAGCGTTTTATTTAGCTAATTACAATATTAATGTGATTGAGTATTAATCTGGGTTAGTGATTAGCCCCATTAGCTTAAACGTTGCTATTGGTACTAGACTGATTGCTAATTTAGTAATTACGATTATTACTTAAACCAAGTACTATTATTCCTTGTTACGAATAATATTAGTAAACTATTATTAACACTGTTGTTTAGGTTGCGTTACAGCTTAATTAAGCTTAATTACTTTAATTAATTACGCTGGGTAATTAGTTGAGTTACACTGAGGAATTACATTAATCAGTTAAGTTACCAATTATTTATTATCAAAATTACCATCAAGCATGCGAATTAATATGCGAATGGCTATGCGGTTTTGCATTTGTGTTTATGCAGAACGATTCACTTAGCAGTCAGTGCTAGCGTTTCATCTGCTGATCCACTGCTTATTACTGGTCCAGCGCACTCTCATTTTTTGCAGTGCGTCATCCATAAATGACGCATACTGCTTTCACATTTTATTTCGCGACATCTTTCTCGAGAAGTTTAGCTAAGGATTGATCGGGCCTAGTGATTCATAACCACTGTGTTCATGACTATTGCCTTTAGCAATTCCAGTAAGCTGATTATCTGGTTCTACAACCTAGATGTTCTACCGTGAGAATGCATTGTCTAGCTATATAAGTCACAGCACTGTCTGTGATATACAAGCGTGTACAAGCGTGTGTAACTAACTTAGCACGGTATGCTCAACCCACAATAAACACCTCGAGACCAGACAATAAACACCCCGTTTCATTTGGCTGCACAGAACCTTCTGTTCTCCCTGCTCGGCTTTGATCACGTATGAAGTCACTTTCGTATTATTTACTGCATTATTACAATAATACGTGCATGTGCCATAAATTTTGCACTTGTGGGTACTCGCTCTGAGCTTGTTTTTATCGAGCAGACCTGTATGTACTGGTGCTGCCACAGCATCCACAGTTCACTGAAAGCCTAGAAATACACTTTGCGATCGGTTCCGTTTTGAACCGGTTGCTTTTCAGACCCTGATTAATGTGGTACTAGTGCGAGTGACTTTTGAGCGAACTTATTAAGGGATTTGGCCCGGTACATAGCACCAATTTGTGTACATCACGGGAACTTTCGCTGTCGCGCACTCCCAAACACTTTTTTGCATTGCTTTATGGTATTTTGTAGCCAAAAGAATTGTATACGTAGTTGTGAAATCCGTTTGCGCGCGCAACATCCGGTTGCGGAGTTATGAGGGTAACAAAATTCCAAAAAGTTTAAATGCAACCCGGTGTACCAAAAGTCTCATTATGGACCGATCCCTTTCAAATTTTGCACGTAAATGCACATAATCATGAAGATTGTTTTGGTACGGATCCAGACTTCTGCAATTTTTTTCAAATTTTAAAATGAATTTTAAATATTTTAAAATTCATTTTAAAATTCGAAAAAAATCCTAGAAGTCTGGTTCCGTACCAAAACAATCTTCATGGTTATGTGCATTTACGTGCAAAATTTGAAAGGGATCGGTCCATAATGAGACTTTTGGTACACCGGGTTGCATTTAAACTTTTTGAATTTTGTTACCGTCATAACTCCGCAACCGGATGTTGCGCGCGCAAAAGGATTTCACAACTACGTATACAATTCTTTTGGCTTCAAATACCATAAAGCAATGGAAAAAAGTGTTTGAGGGTGCGCGACAACGAAAGTTCCCCTCAATGTACACGAATTTAGTGCTATGTACCGGGCCAAATCCCTTAAACATGTCAAGCAAATCCGTAACATCGACCGTTCCACGTTGCTCAGTTTGTCGTACTTCAAAGGCGCACAACGAACCAAAAATGTGTTTTTGGTCAAGTATTCGCAACTGACCTGCATAAAAGATTTCGCTGGGAAAAGGCGTTCGAAGTTTCAAAAGAAGGTTTATTTTTATTACCGTATCATTGCTTGGAAAGATCCTTTTATAGAAACCATCTGTACTGTCTATCAAAATCTAAAAAACAAGCAGCGCATGGTAAAATAATTGCCAAGCCATTGAAATAATACAGCAAAGGGTGACAGCTTCGTTTCCAGCCCGGCCATGTTGTCATATATAGATCCTGTTACACTGCAATCCGGATGGAAGGTTTCTCCAAGTTAAGCGCCACGGTGTGCCCCATCTCGTAAAGCCTCAGCACTTCCTTTTGTGCTTTACACTTACTGCACTGATCCTCGTTAACGTTAACATCGGGGACACCGCCGGTCGCATTCAGGCAGGCATCCAATTTGCTTACCACCCTGCTCAAGACAGCCTTCGGCCAGGCGGGCAGCCTTCTCCAGGCTTCCCAGAGGGATCCTACCCAGGAACCGATAGTCGCCCCGTTGTCGTCATACCACGCTAGTTTAAACGGCACAACCGCTTCTCGACCGGTTCCACAGAGGATCTTTTGCAGACAATCCCCCTTATCAACCATCAACATAAGCAGTGGCACGCAGCAGAGATGGATGATGAGGTTTAGTTTACCATCGTTACAGTAGGGTCGACCTGTCAAGAACAGCGGAAAAATAAAGCGGTTAATGCAAGCGTAACTTATTCGCCGTCCACGCACTGGCTTTCTCACTGCGTGATCACGAAGTGCAGTATGTATTTATGTATTTATTTGGTTAAGTGCCTACCTTTACTATTCATTCATTTAATTTTTTTATTTATTTAATTGTTTATTTTATTTCAATATTTGTCTGCGAAACATTTATGTATTTGGATGCGTAAAGATTTTGTTTGAATGTGGGTGTGTAATGAATATTTTACTAGGTTTTTATGCAGAAAATGATTCGTTTAGCAAGAGAAATGTGCTTAGCTTAAAGCAAAGGTCACGCTCTTAACAAGTAAATAATGTTCAGATATAGCTTAAATCTGCATACTATTTTGCTTGTGGTTAGCGCAGTCGTGCCTGCTTCCAGTAAGAAAAATGAATTCCTCCACCTGCTTCTTGTATTGAACAGCGGGAGGCTTGCCGGCACCATGTTACCGGTATGCTATATATAGTATTACCGGACTGCATTCAGCAGCGGGGCACTCAAAACCATACAAATGCAAAATGCAACCACCAACCCTGGCATTTACTCGTAATTTTATTCACGCCTTTGGTTCATTCTTTTATTGAAAGCCTATGGCGATGTACTTCCCTAGTAATACTGTACTGTGTTATGCGTTTTATTCTGAACGAACTGACTATCGTATAGATATAGTACCTGTCATCTCCTGAGGATAGGCAAAGCGGTCGGCAATCATTTCGTAACTCTGATCGGATGCATCTACGCTCTCTATCATCTCCCGAAGGTCCATTTCATCGTAAAGGGGAGAGCAGTTATCCCACAAACGATTCATCGAGTAAAGATTGTACTGGCACATAGCTTCGCCGTAAGTGGTTCCGCAGCACTTGCAATCATCATCTCGTCTGCAGCGCGGCATGTAAAGCGGATTGATTTTTGGCGGGCATTCCGACAAGGTCCGGCTGCACTGAGCAAATAGCGGTAAGCATATAAATTTACTGAGGTTGAAATCCACCATATACGCTAGGCTAAACCGCCTGGAGGCATAGGTCCTCTATTACCGATAAAATTCAGAATCATATTCTTTTCGATATTCTTTTCAAAAAGGATTTACAATCTGGATAGTAAAAGGTATGGTGCAAGGCACTGCAAGGTATATAAGAGCGAAAGTAAACGCGTTCCATCGTTCCTCTGTACTGCTGCCGTCACCCGCCTGGACGTTACGGCAAAACATATGTTTAAATCTGGCGCGGTACATAAGCGCCATGTTCAACCATAACGTCACACTCCAGCCGGGTGACGGCAGCAGTACAGGGAAATGATGGAGCGCTTTTACTTTTACGCCTCCAATGTGTTATACTCGGTTATAGTACATGGAAATAGCGAGTTTACGGTGGCTTTTCAAATTTTAAAAACAATTAATACGAACTCCAACAGTTTTGAAACTGGAAGTACAATTTAATATCGGACAACAAATAGTAGGAAAGCCAATTACTGTGTTTCCGATCCAAATAAATTTAACGGTCGCCCAGTAAAGAAGGTCAACTTTTGATAGCTGGCTCCAACCAAAGAGCAGCACATTCTGTATCCAATTCACGGTACATGGGCTGGACTTACAGTGTACCAAATCTGGAACCGGGCATCTTTCGGATCGCCGACGGGAGTCGTTTTCCAAAAAGCGCAATAATAGTTCGGTCTGGATACGTCGAGAACCTTATTAAATATAGCCTCCGCTGCGATGGAATTGTTCACACACTGTGCAAAAGAGAATTTTGTCAGAATCGAGTTCATTAAAAGTTGACAGCTTTTGATATTCATGTTCAGTTACGTACTTCATAGACGAAGAGGAATCGAGCTTCTGGATCTGCAGCTGTCCAGTTACAGAGCAGCAGGCAGCCTAAAGCGATAACAATGGCTGTAGCACCCGTAAGTAATGGCGGCATTCTGCTTCGATGACAGCGCTACTGCTGAACAATGTAATAACAGTGCTGGTAGAGTGAACAACAGTATTCTGTTTGTAGCAGAATTATATTATGCGAAGAAGTGATGGGAATGCAGACAATGGTCCGTTCCACGTGGCTTAATGATTACATACGTCTGAGACACGGCCATCGTATCAGATTGTGAGCCGGAATGCCGATTCAGCAATCGGCACATTACGCTGTGGCTATTTCCTGTTATTCGGCAGCGCGGTAAAAGATGGGCACTACGCTGAAATGGAGCATGGTACCCGTTTCAAGTGGCTGATTGCATATTTTCCCGAATTTCGAGCATACATTCCAGCGTTACTGCTGGTTGTACGCAGCGTGGCAATCTGAACGGCCCATGCTCAAACTCGGACTTGGACTCGGACTACTAAAACTTGGACTTGGACTTCACTTGGACTCTAAAACTCTGACTTTACTTGGACTCTAGAACTTGGATTTTATGACTTGGACTTGGAATTAGGCGTTTCTTATGTTTCTCATGTCTCCTTACGTTTCTTCATTATTTCTTAGGTTTCTTAGGTTTCTCAGGTCTCTTAGGTTTCTTTAGTGTTCTTAGATTATTCTTAGGTTTCTTAGGTTTCTCAGGTTTGTTAGGTTTCTTGGGTGTTCTTAGGAGTTCTTAGGTTTCTTTGGTGTTCTTATGTTTCTTAGGTTTCTCAGGTTTCCCCGGTTTTTAGGTGTTCTTAGGTTTTATAGGTCTCTTAGGTTTCTTAGGTTCCTAAGGCTTCTTAGGTTCCTCAGGGTTTCTCAGAATACCAAAGAATACCCCGATAACCTAAGAAATGTTAGTAACCTCATAAACCTAAGAACACCCAACAAACCCAAGAAACCTAAGAAAACCAAAGAAGCCTCAGAAACCTAAGAGACCTATGAAGACCAAAGAAACCGAAAAAACCTAAGAAACCTGAGAAACCTGAGAAAACATGAAGAAACGTAAGAAGACATGAGAAACGCCTAAATCCAAGTCTAAGTAATAAAGTCCGAGTTTTAGAGTCCAAGCGAAGTCCGAGTTTAGAGTCCAAGTGAAGTCCAAGTTTTAGAGTCCAAGTGAAGTCCAAGTCCAAGTTTTAGTAGTCCAAGTCCGAGCTTGAGCGCGGGCCAATCTGAACTTGTGACTATTTGAAGTGTCGTAGGATTACCAGATGCTTTGCATGTGGGCAAACTTAATTATGCGTTATTGGATTTATAGCATAGGTAAATAGATTTTTCTTTGACAGTTGCCATGTTACTGGCAATTACTCTGGCTTTGTTTCTGAATTGTGCTCTGTAGATTCCCTGGTTACAGCTTACGGCTTTAAGTTTAATGATTATACGAAGACTCAACTCACACAACCAAATTCATGCTCAGAATACAAGCGATATGTATCTGTAGCTTGTACGCTAACCAGATTACTCACATACCTAATTTTTTTTGTAATCCAAAGAAAATAATAATTTATATGGATCTAACCGGTAGATAAGATCCGAGCCAGTAAATCGACAAAAACAATGAAATCAGGCTGTCAGAATCAAAAGATGCAGAATAATTCCTCAAGTTGGAGTCTGGCTGAACGGTGGCGAGAATATTGGTCGCAACGCAACGCCGAATTTGTAAACGATTTTCGACTAAATCGCGCAGGCTGATATTTGGTTCTCGTGACATTAGTGGGCTGCCTGGCTGAAGTCCAACTGAACGGGTTGCAATGTCAACCGATACACAGAAAATTTCAGGTTCTTTTTGATCTGTGTACAACTTTTAAAAAGAATCACATCTGGCCACGAGTGTTGTTACGAGTGTTTTTGCTATCGACTTAGAGAACTTCAGTCCCGCTCACATCCGCTCACACCAGTGTGTACGTATGCATGCACTCCAACGGGAGCCAGTTGGTGGTGACGTCAGCGCTACTGGGTCAGCGCGACTCTCTTCCGCTACAGTGTCTTTGTTCCGCCCATGAAGGACCTCACCGTCAGCCACGGCGACTCAGCGGTGATGGCCTGCGTGGTGCGCTTCAACTTTCTGCCAGGATACCTAAGCGATCGCATCGTGTGGTACAGAGAACGCGACTGATTGGTAGCCGAGTCCTTCCCGGAGGTGGAGGATGAGATCATGATGCTATCTCGGATGGGGATTAAGTGGGGACGTGAAGTTTGGCATGGATGCACTGTATCGGTCATGAAGTTTGGCATGGATGCACGCCATTACGTCATGAAGATCGAAAGCGTCAGTAGTGAAAATGCCGGTCGTTTTGAATGCTTGCTCCGCATCAACTTTTGTCTAGACGAGTGTATCGCCCAGGAAGTCTACTGATTTAACCAAAGCCAGCATTTAGCTATTGAATCGTACTATCGTAGCGATTCGGCAAGTTGGTGAATCTTTAAGTGTGGCGGTTAGCGGAGCGTGTTTGCACAAATACTGATCAAGGTGTAGAATAAATGGAAATTTGTTATTAAACGTCCTGTATAAAACGCACTTTTTGCGGGCCAGTTTGTATGCCGATGGTCATGAAATATTGCGCACATAGTATGGTTTTACGTTCAGAAAACTAATAAATAACATTATATCTAGTCCGGACCTGTCCGGCATATGGCCGAACGGTATCATTTGAAGAAATGTGAACGTGATTTATGTAAACGGTAGTTATATAACTTCTCTCAAATTGTGTATGGTTGCTGCGTTCAGCCGGTATGCCATCTTTATGGAGTTGCCGAGCTATATCGGCTTGGTAGCGGAAATGATCAGGCGAAATAAATTATCAAGTGCCAACGCGCTATAAACCGCACAGTGTTTGTGGTGCTGTGCGGGTTGTCGCTTGGGTGTTCGGCTCAACGACTGCTTGTACAGACTGTAGGCTGCTTAGACTGTTAGTAGTGTACTATTTACGCACCGAAAAGTCCACGAAAAGTCAACCAATAAACGGAAGCTGCAGCACCGAAGACGGGCACAAGTTCTTAACACGCAGTTAAGCACGGACATAAGCGACAAACACCGCACATTCACTGGAAAGGATGCAATTTGTCGCTTTTGTCTGACTTAGGATTATTATATACGTTTATGTATTTAAGCAAAGTGGACACTGTATCTCTTTTAACATGTGGCCGCCCAGAATTGTATTTTTTTAAAATTTTCAGTACTACTGACCACTGGTCATCTGGATGACCACGTTAGCGTTTGAGAACTGTAGGGATTTTCAAAACCTTTCGTTTAAGCGGTCGTGCTCTGCAGTGCCAACTTTCCGTAATTTTCTGTAACTTTCGCCGTGTTGCCTGCCAAATGGCAGGATGCCCATCCCTGTCAGTTTGGCAGGCTGTCGCCGTGCTTGACCTATGGTCACGAAAATTCCCCAAAAATTGATTTTTCTTAATTGAATTATTTCGTTACGAAACACCAGTTTTCAAATCGCTATTCGCACTCCTTCAGGTAGCTGACTTTGGTGGTCCTCCTAAATGAACAGCGCCACACATTTTGCTGCAAAAACCTGGCTGGATTTTAAAAGCAAGGCTTATTTTTCATACAGTTTCTGTAAAGAAAGCTGTTCATAAAAGCTACTCTGGGGTCTCTTTCGAAACAGAAAGCAGCATACGCGGAGGGAACAAGGCATGTTAGGTAGCGCGTTCGAACAGTCAAGACACTTTGAACACTCGTGTGGCTGCAAATCTGGCTTAACAGTCAACCGCGGAAGGCTGGCAATTCACGTTTAACTTGGCCACTGTCAATCAGGGCACTCATCCACGGTTGACGGTGAGGTGCACGCAGATGCGCAAAATTCCACGGATGGCTGTTAAGTGAACCATGTTGTTGCACACTTGATGCACAGTGTTCAAAGAGTCTTGACTATTCGAACGCGCTACCGAAGATGCTTGTTCCCTCCTCGTACTGAAAACTGATTGGCTTGACACTGTAAAAGCGTGGCAAAAATAATAGCTTTGTTCACAGCGTGGGTATGTAAAAAAAGGCGAATCATTTAGGTTGCGAACCAGGCGGAAACTTCAAGGTTTTTAATCCGTTATTGTATTTGTATGCCCATCTCGTACAGATTCAACACTTCCTCCTGTGCATTACAGCGACCACACTTATCCTCGTTGACACCGGAAACGCGGTTCGTCGCATTCATGCACTTAGCCAGTTTGTCCATCACTCGGTACAAGACAAGTTTCGGCCATGGGCGCAGCCTGTCCCATGCGTCATGGAGCGGTCCCTTCCAGTCACCGATAACGGTCTCGTCGTCCCACGTTCTTTTAAACGCCGCACTCGCTTCTCGACGATGTGCACAGAGGACCTTTTGCATGCACTCTCCCTTATCGGCAACCAACATGAGCGGCGGCACGCAGCAGGGATGGATAATCATGTTCAGTTCGCCGTTGTTACAGAACGGTCGACCTGTCAAGAAAGGCGAAAAGGTAGAACAGACCATCTGCAACACTTTTAATGGTAACTCAGGTAAAGTTTGCGTTTACTTTAGTCAGAGAATAAAGTGGACAAAAAAGGAAATTGAAATCGAAATCGACCTTTAGTTGCGCGAGTACAAAATTCGATATTAGAATCAAAAATGGGCAACTGGAATATGTCGAAGTTGCATAATATATCGCCAGCGGCCCAGCAGTATCTTTTTTGAAAGGAGAAATGCTTGTTTACGCAGTACGATGCATCTGTTTCTTTAGTTCTTCATTGTGCGCTGTCATCTGTTCTGCATCTGTTCTACATTCCAATGATACCATTACCCGAATCCGCCTTAAGGGATTGCACGTAGCAAAAAAATCAATGTTTTAAAGCGTAACTGAAGTGCCAATGTCACGAATACGGACCTTTTGCTAACGTCAGCCGTTAAAGAAAACGATTCACTACTCGGTCGGTCTCCTCGCCTCCCCGCCCACTATTACAGCTAGTGCTGCCTCTCTACTGTGCAAAGGCTCGTGTTTTTTTGCTGGTTACGTTTCATGGTTGAATTAGGATTGCCAGAGCGGCGAAGAAACGTAAAAAATCATTTTTTTACGTTCTGATAATTAGAAAGTTGAGGAAATACCGAACGAAAGGTTTTAAAATAGCGTTTTAGCGAGATGGTCCAATCTTAACTGTCAAATGAAAACTCCGCCTCTCTTATTGCAAACTTCACGGTTGCTGTTGCGAAAGGTTATTGCGATACGCACTGTACAGAAAGATTGCCACTAGCAGTCCCGGTATTTCATTGCGGTATTTCACCGCTACTGCTGAAGCAGTAGGCAATGATCCGTATCATTTTATTTGTGTACCTTCATCCCTGAACGCATAAACCGGTACAATATGAACAGGTACCTGTCGTTTGAGGAGCGCCAAGGCGGTCGGTAAGTTTTCCGTATATCTGCTCGGATTCACTTGCGCTCTCGATCGTCTCCCGCATGTTCATTTCATCGTAAAGAGGAGTGCAAGTATTCGACAAACGATTCAGCGAGAAGTAATCGTACTCGCACATATCTCCCGCGTACGTGGTCGGGCAGCACCTGCACCCACCCTCCAGGTTACAGAGTCCACCGCAAAATTTCGTGTTTTTGCCGCACTGAACAAAGCAAGGAAGAACAGTCAAATCAACCTCTTTTTAATTTTTAATTGTGGTGTGACGGTCGTACTGATACTTCTATGGTACAGAGATTTATTAGTTTATTATGTCATGACGTAAAACATCAGTAAAGTACGTATTTATATGAGTTTGTAAATTAGCTGTTCGATAAAGGGTCGTACCGCTATTGAAAACCAGCTATCAATTTACCACTTCGCGATAAAAGTAGGAGAGAAACGAAAACCGTTACTCGTGCTCCAGAAACACAAACAAAATAATATTAAAAGACAGCTCCCCCATAGCGAACTATCTCTTGTACCGAGTATTTTTGTCAGGTGCATAGGTTGGACTTACCCTATAACACACGTGAGAAAGCCCAGCGCTGATATCAGTGATTTTCCACAGCTCGCAATCTCTGCCGGTCATGTCAAAAAGCTGGTTAACCATATCCTGTGGTGAGGTGGAGGGGTTCACACACTGTGAAATACAGGTTGTGGTCAAAATTAAGATCAGTGACACTTTTGGCACCGTTTGTCTATACAGATACAATGCGGGAATGCTGAATGCGATATGCATATGCCATATGGGGCACTTTTCCCGAGCAAGACTGTATAGAGGAAGTGTTCTTGCTATGACTTGGGTTTATCTGTTACGGAACGCTTGTTTTGTTTTGTTATTCTTCTGCAGATACATGTACATACGTGTAAAGGCATATATAGGTACTCGTGTAATTTACTTACCTTCTAATAGCACTTACTTCGAAGACGAAGAGCAATCGGTCCCACGGATCTGCAGCGGCCCAGTTAAATAACAACAGGCCGTTTACAACGATAACGATGACACGAGACGTTGACATACCACTAAGCAACGCGACTGCCGCATTAATCGTGCTAAAAATAGTGTTCTGTTCGTAGCTGGGCAATTGATCGTAGGCGTGGTGGACATGAAATCAATGTTCTGTTTTACTGGGCTGAAATATCTACGTATAAGACCCTGACTGTCAGCCACAGTACTGATTCAGCAATTTACACAACACATCGTGGCAAGTCTTCATGTTTTTCGGCCAGACAGTAAAGATTGCGTAGCAGACGTAGCACCGAAATGAAGTATTACACCACTTTCAAGTGGCTGATAGCATATTTTTCCGAAATTCGATCATATTTTCCAGCTATCGAGCCTGATTGTGCGCAGCATGGCTTTTGCAAATTGTGCAGTTTTCAAGTGTCATGTTGTTATCAGTCCCTTTGCATATGACGATCTGATTTGACCTAACTATTGTGGCTCACACAGTTTAGATAATTAGCAACAGCCATTACAATGGCAATTGCTCTTGCTGTACTGACAATGAATAAACAGACAGAAACATTCAAACTGCAAACACCAAAAATGCAGAACAGTTCTGTCGAGATTGTCTTTTGCGATTGTCCTCAATGGTGCGCGGAATGCGGCTCACCGGTCAGTGTGTCCTTCTGACGAACTTAACTAACACGGCACGCAAATTTCAGAAGTTTTGTTGTTGTAAGAAATGCAAAGCGGTTCGACGTTTCTCAACAGCCGATCGCTGTCACTCAATAACTGACCCCCAAAATAATCGGTCGACCGCGTACACGGTTTCCCTGATGGGGTAAAACTTTAAACTTGCACCGGAACCGTTTAAAACACCCTTGGGACGCGCTTATTGTCGTTTTTACAGGCATAACTCAAAATGCAGTGCAAATCATCTCAAAATTCAGTCCAGTTTTTCTGCACAGAACTGAGATTTCCCTAAGACATCAGAACTGAAAGTTTAAAGGAACGAATTTTTGGTCTGTAATGGTCTTGTGAAATATATTGGCCATGAATGTTAGGAACGGTTGTGGTCATGAAATGCTGTGGTTGCGAAATGTTGTGATATTTGATAATGATCAGATTGATATACATTGATATACGGGGAATGCAATATAACACCACGTAGAGAAGCTTTATAGAAACTACAGAGTAGTATCTATCGAAAAGACAAGCGACATATTGAAGTATAATTGCTTCGTAGTTAAAATAGTCTGGCAAAAAGTGATAGATGCGATTCCAGCGCGTGATGCTGTTGACAGAATCGGCTGAGTTCATGCGTCTTGCGGAAACTTCCTCCACTTATCTATAACTTCACTGTATGTCCCATCTCATACAATCTCATCACTGCTTTTTGTGCTTTACACCGAGCACACTGATCCTCGCCAACAACGGAGACACGGCCCGTCACATTCACGCACTCATCCAGCTGACCGATCGCTCTGTTCAGCACAAATTTCGGCCATGGGCGCAGTCTGTCCCAGGCGTCAATTAGTGGTCCCGTCCAGGAGCCGATAGTTGCGCCGTCGCTGTCTTTCCATGCTACTTTAAACGGCGCAACCGCTTCTCGACGGGTTCCACAAAAGACTTTTTGCAAGCATTCTCCCTTATCGATCACCAACATAAGAGGCGGCACGCAGCAGGGATGAATGATTAGGTTCATTTGACCATCGTTACAGTACGTTCGACCTGAAAAGAACGGCAGGAGATTAACACAATCCAACTGACAAAAATTATGTGAGGAAAGCCGGAGTTCATCTTGATCAAACGATCAAACCACCATTAACACGAACTATAAAAAGATAACCGCTATTAAAACGGACACCTAAACGTAAAACTACTCCTATCCGCTTAGTGGAATAATATTAGTTAAAGGAATATCGTTTTTAACAATGATTAAATAGTAAGTATTCTTTTATTCACATTTTTTGAATGAATGGACAATATACGCGTTGTCTAACCTGTCAGTTGAATGTGGTCGGTAACCATGTCATAAATCTGCTCGGATTCGTCTACGCTCTCGATCGTCTCCCGCATGTTCATTTCATAGTAATTCGGTGTACAAGAATTCCACAAACGACTCATCGAGAACAGATCGTACTCGCACATAGCTGCTGCATACGTGGTGTGCGTCCCGCAGCAGCATTTATTCGCCAGTTCGCAGCGTGGCGAGGGCTCGTTTGGGCACTCGGAAAACTTCCGAGCGCACTGATCAAAATAAAGAACAACACTAAAATCGGCTATGCTTTGATTCCACAATAAGCTTTCATAACTGTACACACTTGAGCGGCAAAAATAACTGAGAAATGAGAAAAAAGAAACGTTAACGCTTTTCTAGCAAACAAGATAACCTTGTAAAGGTTACGTCGACCAAAGCGCAGTACATCTTGTATCTGACTCACGTTGCGCAGGTTAAAACTCACTTTTTATTACTCGCCACTTACCTGGTAATAAACTTGGTACCGGAGATCATTCGGATTGCCAGGCTCAATGGTTTTCCAAAAATCGCATTGCCGATGAGATAGCTCAAAAATCTGGTTGAACATGGCCTTCGGTGGAATGGAAGGGTTCGCACACTGTGCAAGACAGGAGGCGGTCAGATTCAAGTAGATTGATGCCCATCGTCTTTGCTTACCTCAAACACGAAGGTCATACGGTCGTCATCGCTTGCAGCTGCCCAGTCACATAACAGCAGGCTATTTAAAGCGATGGCGATGGCGATATTACCAGTTAAAATTTTTAGCATTCTCCGATTGCAGCGTTACTACTGAAAAACGCAACAGTAATAACAGTATTGATTAATGTTATCAACGGTATTCTGTATCTGTACGGTATTCTGTATCTATTGTGATGGGCATAAAAACATTTGCTCAAAACAACGTTCCGTTCGACAGGGTTTAAATATGCATGAGACCGGAGTCATCGTGTCTGATTGTTATCTAGAATGCCGATTCAGCGACCAGCACAACACATCGCGGCCAGTCTTCCTGTTATTCGGAAAGACGGTGTGCGATGTGCATTACGCTGAAAAGAAGAATGGTATGGGCTTCAAGTGGCTGGTTGCATATTTTCCCGAATCTCACTCACAGTTTCCAGCTTTCGGGCTAGATTGTGCGCAGCGTGGCGTTTTAAACGCAGCGTATGCGTATCTGAAGTGCTAAAATTTTTCAAACTGCTTGAAGTACTGTCTAGCAAGTCGTGTATAACCGGCAAAACGTGCATACGAAAAACTTTATCTATGACACTCTAAGCTCCTCTAATAAAATATTTTGTGACTGACGAGTCACTTTGTTTCATCATTTAATTCATTTCTGAGATCGGTACGTAGGGCATCGTGGTAATACTAACGGATAACCGTTCGTGTAAGATTAAGATATATAATATACTGTATACGTGTTACATGTATGTACATACGCCCTCGTAATTTTGTCGTTCCTCGAAGTTTACAGTGAAGAGTTGAAGTATCCATGATTCGCTGAACGTATTTTCGGGGGACGCGTGCACGGATTTGTAAAATATTGAATAAGAAATTTTTTTAACGAGTAGGTATTAGTCAATCACTATTAATTTTCTGGCGTTCTCCACGCAATATTGCTCAGAAAAATGTTTTTTTTTTGCTGGGCGCACGTAACTGAACTGCGTGGTGAGTTTTATTACAGAATAACCAGTTATTAACGAGTAATAACGATTGAGCTTGTACTGTGGTTTAGTTTTACTACCGTATCTGCAAACAAGTCCTTTCTAAAAACAGGTTTCATTTGAAAAGGATGCAGCGCATTGCAAAACAACTGCCGAGCAATGAAAAGCGCGTGGCAAAGGATGGCCTCTTTTCAGCCAGGGCGTGTCATCGTATCTTTAGACAGAATCCGCGAAACTGGGTACACCGCCTCCATGTTTACCACACCGCTATTTTGTACCCCATCTCGTGCAGTCCCACCGTTCCCACCTGTGCTTTACACCGACCGCACTGATCCTCGTTACCGCTGGTCATATTCATGCAGGCATCCAGCTTGTTCCTCACTCTGTTCAGGACAGATTTCTGCCATGTGGACAGCCTGTCCCAGGCGTCGCGGAGCAGCCCCGTCCACGGACCGATAGTGGTGTCATCTTCCCCCGCTAATTTGAACGCCGCACCCACTTCTCGACGGCTTCCGCAGAGGACCTTTTGCTTACACTCCGCCTTTTCGACTACCAGCATGAGCGGCGCCACGCAGCAGGGATGGATGATCATGTTTAGTGCGCCGTCGTTACAGTACGGTCGGTCTGTTACTAAAAGCGGAAAATTAGGATAGACCGGCTGACAATTGTTTTAATGGCAAAGTCTGTGCTCGCATAATCGCATTGATCACACCATAAAACGGTCAAAAAGCGAAAAGCAGCCAGTCGGTTCCACACCTTAAAATGTACAGTGGCTTGCATTGGCAGACCGGAGCGAGTCTGAGGCGAAATTACACTTTATGACACTATCACATTTTATAATAATTATGACATTTGTTAACTTCTTGCACAAGCTCTTGCCTGCGCAATGCACGATGCCTCTATTTCGCTTGCTGTGTATTATGTGAACTTAAAATCACTCATATTACATTATTTTGTTTTAAAATGTAAATGAATTAGTAATATTTTTTCGTGGTTCCTGGGCGGACATGCAGTGGTACAGATACCTGACGTTTGAGGAGTGGGAAGTGGGTCGGTAGTCACTTGGAAAGCATGGTCGGATTCGTCTACTTGCTCGATCGGTTCTCGCATGTTCATTTCATCAAAGAGGGGTGTACAGCTAAACAAGCGTTTCATGGAATACAGATCGTACTGGCACATAGCTCCAGCAAAGGTGGACCTGCAGCAGCTGCATTCGCTCTGCAGATCGCAGCGCGGCCAAGGCGCCACGGTACGGCAGTTGGCCCCCTTCTCCCTGCACTGGAAAAATTATGGGAAAAATATGAACAGCATCTAAAATCCACCATGGGCTTTCCGAATTGTCTATTAAATTTTATAAATCTCGTTTGAAAAATTGTTTTATCTTCGTACTTCTAATAGTCATATAATATTATATGTTTAGACGTCGTTACTGTACCACCAAAGCGCCATGTATCTCGCATCTACTGTACTCAGCGTACTCGTATGCATGAAGTGTTAATAAACGGCTTACCGTGTAATAAATTTGGTACCGGGGATCATTCGGATTTGTAGGTTCATTGATTTTCCAGAAATCACAATGGTGGTTAGATATCCTAACAACCTCATTAAACATAGCCTTCGGAGGAGTGGAAGGGTTCGCACACTAAGCAAAAGGGTATGATGTCAGGATTACTTATATCAACAATTATCGTCTTTGGAAGTTTACTTACTTCAAAAACGAAAGTGAAATCGTTGATTGCGGCTACCCGGTTACATAACCACAAGCCATTTAAAAGCATTACAGCGGATATGACGCCAGATAGAAAAGTTGACATTCTATGATTACAGCGCTACAACTGAACAACGCATCAGAAGTCTTAATATTCTTTGCAACATTATTCTATCTGTAGCAACATTAAGTACGAAGACGTGATGGGCATCCGTTCAACTTGTTTTAAATATGACTGAGACCGAATCATCGTACTAGACTGCTAGCCGGAATGCCGATTCAGCAATCAGTACAACACATCGCTGCCGGTCTTCCTGTTATTCGGTTAAACGGTAAAACATGAGGATAAGCTTCCAAACGCCTAAATGATATTTATTGCTACGTACTCATTTCAAGTGGCTGATTGCATATTTTCCCGAATTTCGCTCATACTTTCCAGCTTTTTAGCCTGATTGTGTAAAGCTTGGCAATTTAAACTTGTGTCTGTTTCAAGTGTCGTATTATTTAATCACGTCTCATGCGACAAACATGACTACGTCTATGTATTATGGTCCACAACATTGGATTTTTATTTCGCACAGCCATATGAATGGCATTTATGCTAGCTTTATCAGAAATTTTAGAATCACTTGCGCGAGCTTGCGGCTTCAAAAATGCAGATACAACCAGAGTTCATGTACCAGTACACTTATAATGAATTTATTTATATTATTATAAATAATTATCGCGATGGATGCAATCTTCTTTTGGCGCTCTTCTGAAAGCTTTACTTACAGCATCATTTGCCGTTCAAAAATGCTGTGCCAGAACTTTACCGGGGCGCCACAGTATCAATTCAGTTTTGAACTGAAGGCTGAAGTTGTGCTTCGTGGTTAACCTGCGCACGCGGTAGTGTTTTGCCCGTACAGGCATACATGATACATGTAGGAAATGTGAAAACGGGCGCGGTTTTGTCTTCGAAACCTGTATGTAAAGGGTAAAATTCGATGTATGTATGTCCCGATTCAGCTTGGCGCAATTGGATATGCATAAACACATTACCATGCAGGCCTGGTGAGATAATGATCAGTTAATCCATCGTAAACAATAAGTTTTGTCCGTGTTACTCTCATCTCAAGTCGACTAATTCCTATAATTATGTTTCACAGCTTCCAGGGACATGTGACATTCTATAGAGCAGTGATTCGTCTTAAGATCGTAACAACTCCCAAACTAATCGGCTTTACCACGAAATCTAATAGCTCGACTATGTCATGCAGTCTCTTGGATGCTAAAATTTTTTTGTCTCGGTTTGCCGAATTACATAAAATGAGAAAATTTTCCGGATTTACCGTTAGCCCCAATTGCTAGAAAGGCACGTTTAATTTCCGAATAAAGACGCCGATCACCTGAACAATAAAGACCGATTAATTGTTCCCTGCGGCTGCAGACTAGTGCTTTCGAAGTTGCAGTACTTCTTGCCATTGAGACCGTTATAACTATACTCTGAGGACTCCATCTAGAGAAATTGTGCTGGTTTCAGAGATTGCAGCGCATGCTTGAAGGACTGTTTCTATCGTCGTATGCAATCTAAATTCGTTTATGGTCGATGATTTTGAGGGAGTGTAAGTCTGTAACGGATCTCAGTTGGTTTTGGAACCAAATTAATCTGCAGAGAAAGAAAAGCGCGATGTTGCTGTTGGATGTGGTTTGATTTCTGGTCACTGCTGTTAATGTAATACAAGCTACCGGGCGGCAGCAAATATCAACTTCGGTTTGCACTTCGGATCTTTGCCAACGAGTTGGTATGTTCCAAAGCTGAAAATTAAATAACAGAATTAAGTACAATTTTTTGAAAAAAATCTCAAAAACAATTTCTTGCATTGCTATATTTTACACTGAATTTTTCAATGAAAATCCATCATGACAGTCGTTGTGAGTTCCACGATGACGTAAGCTTTCAACAATTATTCGTGATTTTTTTAGCCCATGAAATCGTCTCCAGCATGGATGTAACCGTCAATCCGTGCGTGGATTTCTACGCTTACGCATGCAACCGCTGGAATAGCAGCAAAAATGTGGCGTTCGATGTGCTACCACCCAAGATTTCCAAAAAACTTCAAGGTACGTGCGACAACGTGTGCACTGACCGGTGTCATTAACCATTCGTACTGAATTTCCACCCGGCTCAACAATAACGGATTCGGGTAACAATCTGCCAACCAGAGTTATTAATTTTATAATGCCCAATTTCTCACATTTCTTTCCGAAACAGACTAACTAATTTCTTTAAAATTATTTCATCCGGGAAACGTCCTTTTATTATATCAGAAATGGTGTCAACATGGTACAGGCGCTGGATGAGTCATACACTCAGCACACCCAATGCACCATGGTAAATCAGACCGCCGTTTCGTTCAGCCACCTCGTCGCAGAATGCATTTTGTTGGAACTTTCGTTTTCTTGAGAACTCTTTGACAGTGAAAATTACACCAATCCCACGGAAAAAAAAGCGATGGACATTTACGACCAGTGCATGAGCCAGCCGCTTGGTAATTAAACTTTCTGTAAAGGCGCCCTGCACTTGCATTTGAAAGATGTTTCGTATGGCGTGAGCTGTTTCTACACCCTAGTTAAGGGCAGTGGTTAAGGGCACTACACCCTAGTTAAGGGCACCCTAGTTACTCTACTGTCTCTTTGTTGCATACTTGCAACATATAATTTCATGTTTCCCGCGTTATCTTTAAAAGCGCTTCGGTAAGAAAATAGTATAACAACGATTTACATCTGATTCGACCGAAACGTTTCTAATGATGAAAACGCACAAGTTTGACCATTATCTATTTTATCATCAGATTGGCCACTCGAAAGCAGCAACCTTGTGCGCCTTGTTAACGATTTGTTAGGTGGATGGTCACTGTTGAATGACCATCCTAACGTGTCTGATTTTCATCTGGACGACGTTCTCGTGCGCCTGCAACAGAACGATATTTCGACCTTCTGCCATCTTTCCGTAGAAAGAAACGATTTCTCCAGCGACGAGAATATCCTATACTTGAGGGCACCTGGTCGGCTCATGATGCAGTGGGGAGTGGGTGCATTGGTCAACTTCACATATCCCGCTGCACGCAATGCAACTGCGCAGTTAAGAAGCAGATGGACGTCGGTTGTGCAGCGCTTACTGAAAGCAGTCAACGCAAGCGTCCACTGGTCCATTGTCGAAAAGCGACTGGAGAAAGCTCTCATGTTGGATGTTATGCTGACGACGGTGCGACTTAGGTTTTGTAAATCTACTTCGAAATGTACTTTAACGGTTTCCTCAGCGGTTTCTTTATTCTTAAAGTATTCCCGTTTTGCTTTTATTTTTATTTTACAAAACATTCTGTTTTATTTCATTTGCTATCAACCTCCAGATATTTTCATTTGCTGCTTACTTATTTCTTCCAGATTTTCATTTCGTTCATGCTGGTTTTTTTTTCCCAAAACCCTTTAATTTTTTAGGGGACAGCGGAAACTATGGACTTTTGGAAGCGCTTATCCTTTGGTGATCTTTCTAGACCACCCTTCCGTTCGAAATTTCTGGCTGGCTTTTTTGGCGCTGTTTAACGCCATGCTTAAAGCATCTTCAGTAGAATTTCAAGCCACGACCGCTACGAAGTTCGGGACACCGGTTTCAAAGTATCTCCTCAAGCTGGATCAGACGATAGCGCAGCTGGAATCGGATGGTAACGCGGGACGGACGGTAGTGGCTGACTGGCTGTGGTGGATTGCTGTCGATCATTATCTCAATGTATATCGAGGGACGAACGACTGCGTGCGCCTGGCAAAAGCAGCCATGCCGTTAGCCTTGTCGGGAATGTTCTTTAAAACATTCATCTCGAGCAAAGCCGTCGAAAAGGTCAAGCACAGAAATTATTACGAAATGATTTTCCTCGAGAAATTATTTTAGCAGAATTTGGTGCAAAAGCGAATAGCTTCGGAAATGAACGCTAAAATATTTAAAGGTTATTTGCGTTCAACAGGCAAAACTGCTCATATCCGACATTGCCAACGGAGTCCGCGATGCAGTGCTCCTCAAGACGGTCTGGATGGACCAGCAAACTTAGGAAGCCGGCATGGATAAGCTGAATCATACAGTGCGGATGATCGGTTATCCCGAGGAGTTTTTGCACCATTGGACACTCACCGATGACCTCTACGCAAAGGCTAGTAAATTTTGGCGCCCCGGCAGGTTTTATAAAAAACTATTGCAGGAAACTAAGGATCCACTCAACAAAATTTTTTTCATTGTGAGCTTCGAAAACGAGACACGGCCGCTAATAGAAATTATGTAATAGAACGCAAACGTTTCGAATGCGAAGCACATCGGTGCAATAATAAACTGTGTACAAGCGGCTACAATTAATATAAATGCACTTGCGTGATAGGCTGATAGCTATAACTATTATGTTGCAGATACAAGCGAAGTTGTCATTCTACGACACACTTCGCACCATCGATCAAAGCAACAGTTGGATCAACCTGCAGAAGCTCTCCCGCCACAACGCCCGCAATGATCCTTATCTTATACCCGATATGACCACTGTATTCGCCAAGACGTTCTCGGAATGCAACTATATTGGTACAGATGCGTTGCTGGCTTGATTAATCTTAATTTTGTTTAAACTAAAGTACGCACATCTTTGACAAGGTTATTTCTGGTCCACTCATAAAAAGCGTTTTCCAGATTTTGTGGTTTAGGAATTAACTAAGACTTCGAAATGGCTATTTTAATGCAGTCTTTGTGTCAAAATAATGAAAATATCTCTTTTATTATTTTTTGGTACACTAGGGTTAAATGTAGATGCGGCAATTAGTCATTCTGCTGCATCTACGCCGCCACATGTTGTGGCGGCGGCGTAGATGCAGCATCCACAACAGCCTAAAATCTGATTGTCACGAAGTTTTCGAGTTTTTTTACGAAGTTACCCTTTATGGTTTCCCGGTCTCTAAAGTTTTTTAGAAAATTTGATGAAGCCGTATATCAGAAACAAAGCTTTTTTGATGTAACAGTTGGCAAATTAGCCAAAGAGCTATTTAGCCGCGCAAACTGCCGCAGAATAGTTTACTGAGTATTCAGCAGCAGTGGCGGTCAAATAGCCACAGGGCTATTCGGACCTCTGTTGCTGTACCGCGACAAAATAGCCCTAGCCGTAAAAAAGTTTTTGCTTTTTGCGTAAAGCTTTTATATTTTTCCTTTTTGTATATCTGACCATTTCGTTCTTGTCTGTTGTTTTTCCTTTTTGTTTTCCGTTATTACTTTCGTTATTACCTTCTCCTTTCGGACGTAAAATGCTAATAAACAGGAACATGATAGTTGTTTTGCAGCTATTTCGGCGGCGTGCTTACAAGAACCAATGTTCTACGCAAGCAACATGGACATTGTTAACTACGCTCGCATGGGTTTCATCATGGGCCACGAATTCACCCATGTTCTGGATATTGGAGGCAAGCAAAGATTCTTTAAAGAAATCGTTTTATCTTATACGCAGCTGGATTTGTCGTGTTTAGGGAAAGAATTTGGGGTAGACGGCAAACCGTTTAACTGGTGGACGAATGCGACACAAAACAACTATAACGCGAGAAATTTTACTTTAGTGGATTTTTACAATGACATCAGCGCAAAAGACGACAGCGTTGTATGGACGGCAAACTCTCCTCGAGAACGCTGCCGACAACGGCGGATTCCGCGCTGCTTACTCGGTTCTTATTTTTATTGTATATAGGTCTAATATACGGCTCGCAAAAAACCGTTTTTCTGCAGGCTTTTCGTAATTTTATGCGCCGCACGGGATATCACATCAAACTCCAAGGTGTAGAAGCGCTGAATGAGAAGCAGTTGTTCTGGTTAATCGGGGCTCAGGTAACACCTCTGGTGACGGTTAGGACGGGACACAGCTACAGCGCGAGTCGTTTTTAGACTTGGTGCACCCGTAATCCCGCATCTGGCGACGCAGATCACGCACCGTTACGAGTACGTGTGATGGGAGCTTACATGAATAGCGCGGATTTCGGTGCGGCTTACAACTGTCCGGTGGGATCTCCGATGAACCCGCGGATTAAAGCGTGGTAGAGGTGGTTTGAGGTTTTCAGATGGTTTAATAGTTTGATAAGGAAATTATTGCTGTACTATGCTGAGAGGTTATAGAATCCGATGATTCTTATAAATCGGCAGAGGCTACTTTCCATGTACTTACGAGTGCAGGTACAAACAGATAACAAAAACAGTTAACAAAATTTAACTGGTTTCACAGTACTTTGACACGGATTAGGCAGCACCACCAGAATCAGCAATAATTTGTCTGCGTTTACCTTGCTCCAGTTATTTGCTTCCTGTTGTAGCATTGACATTTTACAGGTGCGTCTTCTATCGGTTATTAACTAAAAATAAAATGGTTGTAAACTATCTAAAGTGGTTGCAAATTTTCAAATTGCAACCATGTGCACATCCTTAGTGTACTACACACATTGATCATCTGCTGGCTGCGGCGATTAGCCTGCGAAAAAAAACGTGAGTGCCAGACGCAAAGGTTATCATTACATAAGGTTACCGCAACTGTTTTATTTACAGTACTATTACGTTGAATGAGATTTTAACATACTCCGCTGTACGAAAAATTAGCCAACTGGATGACCCGAGACAACAGGATTCTATAACAGATTAGTAAATCAGACGCAACATAAAAACTAACGGAACACTCCATTAAAATTTTCAGCGTTTTTTAGTCGTTGGTTTACTCCTTGGGCGCCGGTCCTTCTCTTCTAGCCAAAGCCTTACCGCAGGACGCACATCAAACTCAGCAAGGGGCGGCATGTTAACGTTAACCTGGACGTATAAGTATTTTCGCTGAGTTTTGTCACTCACGGTAGAGCGCAACGAGTCTTTTGGAAAGGTTGGACGCCGATATCAGACGCTCAACGTCAAACGAATGCGGGGTTGCTGCAACAACGCGTGCCAATGACGTACTTCACGTGTGCCATTCTGGATGCGACGCGCAAACACTGAGCGCTTCTCGTTTTCCGATCCCAGGAAACTTGTGCGCCAATTCGCGGTAAGATGCTGCTAATTCTTCTAAAGCGAGATCCGGTGCAACGCGAGCATGCGTTGCCGTCAACAAGGGGCTCGGAATGTCAACATTGAATTTTTGCAATGGAGCCACGTCGCTCACCAGAAGCGAATCGATCTCCATCCGCTCTTCCAAGAAATTTATTAGACTCTGCACAATTTCATTGCGTACAGCCGTAAAATTTCTCGCGTCAGGAACACGCAGGTTTGTCCTTCTGTTTCTCCTCATGCGACGTACTCGTGAACCATAACGGTTACCGACTTACCGTTATGGCTCACGAGTACGAAAAGCGCCCGGAGCTCGTTCGCGTTCGCTGGCCTGTTCATGTCCAACAATTTCTTGCTGCGATCACATAAAATGTGGCTGCGTCGGTTGTCGACCACAAATCCGAGGTCTTCCACGGATTCCAGCATGAAAGTACACTTGACTTGTTTCAAAGTCAGCGCGTATTCTACCAACCGTGGTAAAATTCTTTCCAGGTAACGGAGGTGCTCTTTTTCGGTTCGGCCAGTGATAACGATACCATCCAGGTACATGGCCACGCCCTCGCACCCTGCAGGATTTTCTCCATCTGCTGGAAGCTGGGCGTTTGTGCATAAGGAAGAGGCGTTTGTGCATGCTGATAACGACCATATGTTTGTTTTCGTATTCCAGCTCCACCTGGGCATGCGCTTCCGCCAAATCTAGCATAATAAACCTTTGCGTCCGTTCAGTTTGACACAAACGTAACAATTCAAAAACTAGTCGCCATTTTCCCGAAATTAATCAGCTCCGCCATTTAATTCCCGAAATATTACTTAAACATAATATTATACAGTCTCATGCATGCTAAATCTTTAACGGTAACGGTTTGTCGAATTACATAAGTAATAATTTCCCGGATTTGCCGCTAGTCATATTTTATACAAACGGCGCGTTTTATTCAGAGACTCTAACCAACTTAATAATCATCGCCTTGGGCTGCAAAAGAGTGCTTTGTAATTTCAGTACCGGCCATTGAAACCGTTATATTCTCCGGAAAATTCGTCTCGAGCAGCTGTGCTGGTTTTTCAGATTGCAGCGGATTTATCGAGGACTGTTTCTTTCTTTTATACAAAATACTTAGTTTCGTTGATGGCAAACGAGCTTCAGAGTAACGCATTTTGTTTTGGAAGTCAATTACCTATTAGCGGAAGCCGGACATAAGCGCGCGATGTTACTTTTAGTTGTGGTTGCACTTCTGGTCACTGCTGCTGTTATAATACAGGCTACCGGAGGGCAGCAGATATTTACTCCCGTTTGCACGACGGATCTGTGCCATCAAGTTGGTATGTATCACGGCTGCCAACTGAATATCAACTACAAAAACTCTGTCCGGAAAGAAGAGCACGGAAATATGTAGCTTTCTACGTAGCAGATAGTTACATTAAATTTCCGAAGAAAATTGCATCTTGACTGTTGTAACTGTTAAGTCAGTTTTGCGATACGACGATGTTAAGCCAGTTTTGCGATTTTAATGAGTTAGTGTTTTTCTTAGCCCGTGAAATTGTCTCCAGTATGGATGAAACCGTTGATCCGTGCGTGGATTTTTACGCCTACGCATGCAACCGGTGGAATAGCAGCAATGGTCTGGCAAACGCCGTAATCATTCCAAAGATTTCCAAACAAATTCAAGGTACAGAGAACGTGCGGCAATTATTGCTGACAGTCTGTCAGCAATAATTGCCAGTGACAGATATTCAGTAAGCGTCAGCAATAAAATTATTTTGCATGCTGCCTTTTAAACCTGGCACATTGCTAACCGGTTTCGTAAAAAATCAACAACAAAAATTATGTATCACATGTATAATTCCCACCAGAGATTACAGCCTGGCTCTCACTCTATACGCATTCCATCCATTGTCTAAATAAGTGTGCATTATTACATATTTTGTGTACAGTGGAACCTCCCGACCCTGAACACTCTCGGTACGCAGTCTCTTGTTCAGGGTTCAGAGGTGTTCATGATTCGGAGGTACTGCCCCTAGGGGCGGAGACCTTCTTAGGGGGCCCCCTAGCTTTATATCAGTTATAGATATAATATAGTAGCAATCTATAATGTACTATTTGTATCATGTTTTGATGATCAGTTCGATACAGCTTAAGACAACAGGTTAAAAACGACAATTAGAATTAAAAAGATAAATTTTAATATTCGTCGGCCGAAAATGATCGAGAATATACTTTTTCTTATCAGAATAAGGAGCGGTTATCTTGTCCGCGACGTGTTTTTTGCCGTGCTGTTCATATAAAAACTAAAAATTTGTCCACAAAGTAAAATACTAAACGGCAGACGAATAGTTACGATTAATAATACTTAAACTCCATGAGCGCTTGATCTTCCGGATGTTTTGCTGAACTGCTCTGTTCAAGTCGTGGAGGTCTAATTTACTAAGAAGACACACTACGGTACGTAACAGAGTGTTCACGGTTCAGAGTTCAGAGGTGTTCAGGGTTCAGAGGTCCCCCCTAATGTTATACATTACGAGAAGCGCCGGTACGAAAAAAGCTGTTCAAGATTCGGAGGTGTTCAGCGTTCGGGGGTGTTCAGAGTAGGAGGTTCCACTGTACATAGTTTAAACCGGTGTCGTGCGTTTTGAGCAACCCAAATGCGCAGAAATAAAAAGCTGGTAACCCATCCAAAAAATTTTGTTGGCTCTGCGAAAAGAAAATTCCATTGAAATTTATAATACTTGCTAAAATCTTTGACTCCTTTAAAACAATTATGTATCTACTTCGCGCCTTGCGCGAAGAGGGCTCCGCGCCTTGCTCTTTGCTGTAGTTCAACATCGAGGTCATTCCATCAGTGTTGTCAAGATAATCAAAAATGTCAAGAAAAATTTACTTCCATTCGAAGTACTTGAGTGGACTCCGCGAAATTTGAATCTAGATTTAAGTAGAGCCTTTTCTCGCTGTGGTTTTAAAGTTTTCAAACCACATTGACACAAAAAGAATTATAAAATCATCACCGACCGTTAGATCCTCGTATGTGACCGACAAAAATGTCCCCAGGGACATTTTTGCCGTGTCCCCTCTGCCGCCATCTCCAAAACGGTAACCCTTTTGTCAGAGTGGTGACATGGAGGACTACAACGAAAAGCTGATTTTCAGGTCAGTCGGTGACTTTTGAAAACTGGTACCAGCGTTACCTCAGCTTTATCAGTCTCACAAATTGAGGGACATCAGTCGCCGAAAGGACATAAATGCCGGGATGGACTTTGTTACGAGTACATTACATAAGTACTATACGTACACTATATCTATAATTACTATCTCCTTATATGTACTGTATCCTTTTATGTACTTCTGTTACACTTACTTTAGTTCCACCTACAATGTTCTATTTATACAGTTTCTTACCAGCAGCTCGGTATAAAACCGGCTTGCTACTGTATCTTTCTTTAGCTTTACATCAGGCTCAACTAGCTAATAACATCTGGCTTATTTCTATCAATAAAGCTACTTTACATCCGCGTATTCCACCTTAGAAAAAGCACGTAACAACTTGGTGGCTCCAGGTTTTGTTGGTTATTTTGCCTAACTAACACGAGTGCCCATGACCTTTATTTTTCCACCTATATTAATTAATTCATTTTATGCCCCTGACCTTTCCTAAAGTTCTATACTGTGAAGAGCTGTTATTTCGTTTATCAGTGTATCCCTATGACCTTTATTTCACCGATGAGTTTATCGATACCAGGGAGGAGAAAGGATCACATATTGCGTAAATCCGGCATTCTTTGTATAATTTCAGCGTATGCTTGTGCTGTATGCCGCCACCCAGGATGATTCTAATATACTGCGTGCAACCGTGTCCTTGGTAAATATCGCAAGGGTTTTTAATGCTGGGAAATTCTGTCTAACAAAAAATCTCTTTAAAAAAAAAAATATTAGCAGCATTATTATGTTCTTCACCTTTGTTCAAAAAGAAATTACTGCTGCCTAAATATGGCAAATCATTATTCGCTATCTTTCCTTTACTTTCTTTGCGTTATCTGCAGCACTAAAATAATTTATTCGAACCTCGTTACATCGTCCGTAAATCACATTTTGTATTACGGAATTCTGTGCACCGTGTTTATCTTATTTTATTAACATCTGCAATTTTTCGATAATTAATTAAACCGTTGTGCAGCTACTATAATTCATTCGATTTATTCCTAATTTCTGTTAATGCGCAACATCAATATTCCGCAAGGAGGAAGAGGCAGCATGAGAAGCGAGTAAACACTCGTAAATACCATATCTACCGTCTTTAATTGGAATTTACGAGACCAAATTAATTAACATTATTATTATCGCTTCGAATATGATTATCGATCGTCGAGTTCTTTGATATCGTTTTCCTTACGTTCTTTCCAAGTACTGTTGAAGTGATCTGTATTTCTTCCATTTCTTATTATCTGTTTTTGTCAGCACAGCATGCATAATTTACTTTAAATTTTATTACAGTAATAGTACAGCATTGTCTCTGTACTTAAGAGGCAGATATGCCGCATACGTTTTTCTATACGAAAAATTATTTATAAATATTTTCCTTATGTCTTTAGCAATTGCTATCCCAAGCAGCTATCGGTCTCCTATACCGCACTGCAGTTTATTTACTTATTATTGTCAATAAAAATATTTCTTACCGGTACCGAGCCAACCGCATATTGCATTTGAAACGTTCCTCTATAAATTCTGCGCATCAGTACGACGTCTTTTAAAATTTACTATACTATACTGGCCAAAGCGGTGCTGACTGATTGAAGTTTGTAATCCGTCGACGAAGATGAATATTAAAAACAGATCGCTCGCGCAGTCCAAGTGAAGCAGTATCCACTATACGTGAAGGCTGTCAGTCTGTTACTATCTTGCTCTTTATTCCCTTGCGCTCTCTGCTCTTATATGCCGCCGCATCACATCATCTCTGAATTCAGTTTATTTGAGGCCGTCCCTTTATGCTCAGCGCAGTGCGTGGGACCACTGTGCCTGTGTATATGCCTCCTGTAATACTGATCGAAACGCTTCCTTATATGGTAACCGGCATCCTCATTCTCTGAAGCTGTAACGTGCGTTAGAGTCGTACGAAGTTAAGCGATCCTCCTTCTGAAAACATTCTGAAAAAATTTCTCTCTTTCCTTTAAAATCAGATTTGATATATATTTATCTGGCCAATCCACAAATTTTGAGAGATTTTAAAGCAATTGCCAACAGTGCACCGTCAGTCAAAGTTGCATTCACTAGTGCACCCTTATACGCGTAAATTATAGCACAATTTCCTGATGCTGCTAGTATTTAAATCTTTTCAAGTCAACAAGTTTGAGCTCGTTTACTTTTTCCGTTTTGATTTTAGCGCGCATGACAGCACAGTACTGTTATAACCTTTTCAATTTAACATACGAAAGTTTAAATTCGCTCGGTAAATATACCGATAAAATAATATCTGTTTTCATTTTTTCGGTTTATTTTCTAACATGCCGCCAGTTAATTTGGATAGCCCGCCTTTGATCTACTGCACTGCTAATTACGAATATATTCATCTAAATCTGTGCATCGAAAGCCGAGACATAACAATTTGTCACGATATCGACACTCTGAACGTCGAACAGTTCAATACCATTTTTAATTGTTGCGAATGTGGTTTTACCAACGCGTCTCGAATGACGACTTATCAGCATGTGTTCATTCACCACGTATTAACGTTAATACTGCCAGCACGACTGGTTCGCCCAATCGCCGCACGTTATTCCCCTGAGGCGATCCAAAGAGCAAATGAAAATTTCGCCCGAACTTATCAAGAAAACCAGGATGGAACCTGAACAGTGAGAAACCATGAAACAGAAGCCAAAATTGGACCACCCGTTATACCGGATCAGAACTCTTGCCCTAACCGAAGTCCGCCTACAACGCAATGGACTCCCACGTATTCAGCATTAATTTTTACCTTTCTTTTTATTCTTGATCTTTTATTACTAATTAAAATCGAGGACGATTTTGTTTTAAGGAGGGAATGTTACGAGTACATTACATAAGTACTATACGTACACTATATCTATAATTACTATCTCCTTATATGTACTGTATCCTTTTATGTACTTCTGTTACACTTACTTTAGTTCCACCTACAATGTTCTATTTATACAGTTTCTTACCAGCAGCTCGGTATAAAACCGGCTTGCTACTGTATCTTTCTTTAGCTTTACATCAGGCTCAACTAGCTAATAACATCTGGCTTATTTCTATCAATAAAGCTACTTTACATCCGCGTATTCCACCTTAGAAAAAGCACGTAACAACTTTATTGCAAAAAAAAATTACAAGTGTCCGGAATGGGGGACATTATTGCCGGTCACACTCGTATCGCATTGTATTTTAATTCTCCTTTCTCGCTAACCCAAGCTCTTACCGAGCATGGTATAAAGGCACGAACCCACAAGAAATATTTTTTAAGCATATTGCTAGCAAAATGACTCGTCGCCTTCGCCCTTCTTGCGAGAATTTGCGCGAGGCTGCCATTAAACGTTATATGTAAGTAGTTTTACTACGTGTAAAACAGTTCGATATTACTGATGTACTTCTAGCTAGCCCTATTTGTAGCACCAAGGATTGTGTATAGCAAAGTACAGCAAATCATGCTTTTATTTTGAAGGGACTTTTACTTTATTTAGAACTATTCGACAGTGGTAACTACACCAATCCCACGGAAAAAAAAGCAAGGGACATATACAACCAGTGCATCAACCAAAAGCATGGTATTCAAAGCCCTGCACTTGAAAGTTAAAGCACTCATTGGTTTACATTTAATTCGAGCAAAAGCCCTTAAATAATGCAAAAACGCGTTTTCTGTGTCGACTATTATCTGTTTCTGTCAACAGAGCGACCATTCGACGACCGTACTCTCCTTAGCGCTGTTGACGACTTGTTAGGAGGATGGTCGTTATTAAAAGAATATCCCAACGTGTCCACGTTTCGTCTGGACGAAGCTCTCGTCCGCCTGCAACAGAACGACATTGGGACCTTTAGCGATCTTTACGTGAATACAAACGAATTTTCTAGCAACGAAAATATCGTGTTCTTTAACATGCCTGGTCGCCTTTGGGTCCACTGGGGACTGGAGGCAGTGGTCACCACTCCACGCAATGCAACTGCGCAGTTGATAAGCAAGTGGGCGCCGATCGTGCATCGATTGCTGAAAAAAGCCAATACAAGTGTCCAGTGGTCTGCGGTTGAAAAGCGATTGGAGAAAGCCCTCGAATTAGATGTTATGCTGGCGACGGTAGGATCTCTATTCCAAAACTGCTTTTTCATCCGCCGTTTGTCTGGGACCTATTGTTAACGACGTAGTCTGATTGCTGTTCCTGATTCCCTTTTGCAGTAACATTTCAAAAATATATTTATTAATTGTTTTCCTATTTTTTCGTACATTTGTTTGTTTTCTTCATTGAATTTCTCGTCTGATTTCAATTTTTTACAACTTTTTATTTTCTTTCGGTTTTCTTTATTATTTCAGCTGACATTCTGCTTTTTTCGGTTATCTTATTCTTTCGTTTCATCAGCTTTCACTGGTTGCTTGTTTGCTTTATTTTCTAAAAGTTTTAGAATTTTTGATTATTTAGATGCCAACAGATCCTGTGGACTTTCTGAGGGGCTCTACGTTTGGTGATCTTAGTAGACGGCCATACCGTTCGCGATTTATTACAAGCTTTTTAACTCTTTTCAACGCCATGCTGGAAGCATCTTCGGTGAAATTTCGAGCCACATCCGCAACGCAGTTCGCAATCCCGATTTTACAGTATCTCCTCAAACTGGATCGAACGATGGCGCAGCTGGAACGGGACGGGGATGCGGGACTGGTGACAATTGCTGATTGGTTGTGGTGGATCGCCGTCTATCACTATCACCTTATATATCGAGGGACGGGCACCTGCGCGGGACTTGTTAAGGCAGCCATGCCTTTGGCTGTCTCGGGAATGTTTTTCAGAACATACATACCGTCTGAAGCCATCCAAAAGGTCAACCGCGAATCGATTTTATTACGAAATTAAATTTCTCAGGTTATGATTTCTGTGAAATGTGGCATCCTAGCTAAAAGCCAGAAAGCCGAATTAATTAACGCTATTTGCGTGCAACAGGCAGAAGTGCTTACATCCGAAATTGCCTCCGCGGTTCGCGACGCCGTCCTCCTTAAAACGGCCTGGATGGACCGGGCAACGCAAGAAGCCGCCATGGATAAGCTAAATCATACGCTGCGGAACGTAGGTTATCCCCAAGGGTTCATGGACAACTGGAAACTCCTCGATGACCTCTACACAAAGGCAAGTTATTCTTGACGCATTGCCAAGCCTTAAAAAAAGGTTTCTAATGTCAGAATATTGCAAAACAGTAAGCTAAGGTCACCTCGGTATTCGTGTTGTTACAAGGCCATCTCAAAACGGAGTCACGGCTGTACATGAGAAGTATTTCGCGCTATGGCTCAAGCTTGCCTCTGTTACTTTTCCCACATACTCTGTACTGCCCTGACTGGGCATTATATTGGCTTGGACGGCGACATAATTATGAGCCGAATATAAAAAGGTATAATTACCAATTTACTATGAAATTTACCAGTGCGACTGCTAACCAAAACATCTTGGCGGTCGAAAAAGCTTTGAGTGGTGGAGTATTGCATGCTAAAAAAGTACTGTATCCCCTTAGTATGATCTTTGTTTAGATATGAGCTTCAAAAGCAGTAATAATGTCACGCTATCGCTATAGTTTTCGATGCTGTACAGAGGCGTACAAAAGCTTGTCATCGTCCGCTAAAATTGCATTTACCAACGCTGCGATGTAGAGTAGCAGGCTGGCGGTAATCATGAGGGCTGAAGAAATTGTGCCATGCCCAAGGGCCAAGACGGCGTGTGGCACCGATAGTCTCAAAAGCAAAGGAACAAAATCGTACTCTATTGGCTAAGTATTCATATGTACTTCCGGCGCTTTCCTTCTTCTGTTTTCTTGGCTGCGTATCAGGCCTTGGTAGTGCTACTGATGACGGCAACAGTGTCCACGCATGTTACTTCCCAAGCCAATCGTCGTCGTATATCTGTGTACTCCATCGCCGGTCATCTACGTCATTGGTCCCTTGCGGTTCGAGCACCACAGGCGTAATAGCGCTGACCAGGCTTCTCCGAATCACCTCGTTCGATGAGGAATCCGTGTAAAGCGTCCTCTTTTCGCATAAAAGTCCATGGAGGACAGATTCGTCCCAGGGGATACGACTTTCATACACACAATTTTCCCATCCACAGATCAGTACACTGTAACACATATCAATTTTTCCCCAAACAAATTTCTGTAGACAGATGTAGTGGCTGACCGGGTAAAACGGGATCGTCTCTTAGATCCGACTCAAAGCTGGCTGGTTTGACTTAATCAAAGTGGCTAGTGGCTGACTGCGCTGAAATGCATTGAAACAAATCCTATCATATCTGCAGGTTCAAGTGAAAACCTCGTTCTACGACACACTGCGAACAATCGATCAAAGCAACAGTTGGATAAACCTGCAAAAACTCTCCCGCACCAACGTTCGTAGTGATCCTTTTCGATCGGCCGATCTGACCACGGTATCCGCCAGGTTGTACTCGGACAGCAATTACATTGGTATCTGGCCACCTTGTAAATTTGTAACATTGCTTTTAATAAAGTAATTTTTTCTGCGGTTGTTCCTGGTCGATTTGTGGAAGGCTTATGTACCGAATTTGTCATTAACGAATTTTGCTGACACTATTTATTTTGTTTTTTGAAGAAAGTATTTTTACGTTTTTCTCTATGTACATAGTATGTGCATATCGCTCATTTGCTTTAGATTTTTTTGCTTTCTGATTTTCCATTTATTATTAATCAATGCTGCTTTGTGCGTCGAAAGTTATTTCGTGAGCACCTAACAGAGATCGCTGGCCGGGTTTGCAGTTATTCCGCAAGCCGCATTACAGCCACCCATGTTCTACGCAAGCAACTTGGACATTTTTAACTACGCACGTTTGGGTTTTGTAATTGGCCACGAATTTACCCATGTTTTAGATAGGCAAGTATGGATTTCTCTAGAGAAAAATATGTATTCTAAATACATAATTACGCATGTCTTGTTCAGGGAAAGAATACGGGAAAGACGGCAAACTGTTTAACTGGTGGACGAATGCAACACACAACAATTACAACGCTCGAAAGTTCACATTGGTAGATTTCTACAACAATATCAGCAGGAAGAACGACAGCGTCGATAGCCGAGAAACTCTCATCGAGAACACTGCCGACAATGGCGGATACCGCGCTGCTTACTTGGTTTTCATTTTTAGTATTTTCATCAGTAGTGTATGGTACGCAAAGGATGATTTTTCTGCAGGCATTCCATAATTTTATGCAACACACGGGATACCGCATCAAACTGCCGGGCTTAGAAGCATTAAACGAGGAGCAACTGTTCTGGTTAATAGGAGCTCAGGTGACATTTGTTAATGCTTAGAATCGGGCACAGCTAGAGAGGGAGTTGTTTCTAGACATGGTGCATCCGTCATCAAGAATTTGCCGACGCAACGCACGCACCGTTCCGATTCCGTGTGATGGGACCGTACATGAATAGCGCGGATTTTAGTGCGTCTTACAACTGTCCCCTTGGATCCCCGATGAACCCACGGGATAAGGCGTGGTAGATAAGGTTTTATCTTTGGAAATGGTTTCAATTTTAGTAAAAAAATTCTTGTTAGTGTGCTAAGGTGACAAGTGATAAAATCAGAAAATCATTTAAACCGGAAAATGCTGCTAATCATGTAGAAACCATTGCAGGTACATACCAACAATAGATCTTATTAGCTCAGAATTCACGGTAACTGAACTGCGATTTGGTTACAGTATCGAAATTAGCAATAACAAGCGCGTTTACCACTCACTACAGTATTCATTAACTCTGTTTAATAAATATAGAATTGATAACCATTAAAGGTTCTTTTTTTCAGAAGTTCCTTGATCCGAAATGGTTGTGAAACATCTTGCCAAATACGAAGTGCAAGCAAGCATGTGCACTTCAGTGGTATACTACATACAAGCCTAGCGACAATTGAAAATGTAAAGGTAGAGGTGGACGATATCAGCGCGACGGTGGCGCTTGAATGATGGCCACTACACTAAGTTTACCGCAATGTGTAAGGGCGCACCGCAGTGAAATTAGCCCTTACTGCAACGATCGTTTTCTAACTTAACTTCCACCACACAGTTCTTAATAAAATATCTGGCGTACACCAAGGCACCAGCCAGCCAACTGCGTGTTACTCGTGAGTCGTATTGCATATCGCTCACAGTACGGATTCAAGCGTAACCCGTAAATTTGTAATGTTCGTTGCTTGCTTTGAATGCAATGAGAATACGGCGTTCAATTCTCGCTCTCCCTGTAGTGTTTGCGGTATTCTTGCTCTCCCTGTAGTGTGTTATACGTAAAGAACGTACTTAATAGATTGCCTTGCAGCAGGATACTCTAGCGATACTCGTACAATAAAATACATATGATATTGAAAAAAGCGACACTAAGCGTAAAACAATACTAAAGCCATGGTAATCAATTAGCTATTGCCTAAATATAGGTACTAAATAGACTTGGAAAAGCGGTACGCTGCTGTAATTTTGCGGAACAGTACTCCGCGGTACTGTAATTTTATTAGTAGAATGTGGTTCTTGGAAATTAAATCACTCTCTTTGGCACAGCTTTGCCGAATGGTTCCTGTGAATAAGTTCTCAGTTACGGACTTCACTCCGGAAAAAAACTACTGAGAAAACTGGCCATAATAAGCCAAATACTGGTTTTTAACATTTTTGGTATAGACATGTTACCAGGAAATGATCGATATTAACACATCCGGCTTGCCGGCACTTCTACTTTCTATTCCTGATCGAATTTAACTCGTGCGATTGCTTCCAGGCAAATGTTTGGCGCACAGTCGCGCTCCGAGTAGTGATGTACGGCAATACATATATGACACGTAGTTTCTATAAGCAGTATGAAGGTACAGCAACAAAGCGGAGGAGTTTTCGTTGTGCTGGTGTTTTCGAACAACGATCTGCAGCTCGCGCTACTTCATACCGATAACCCCGCTGTATTTATGTACTGTTGCAGTATTACAACGCAAGCAACGCAAAAATGCTTTTTTTCATTCTTTGGCCGTTCATCTGTGCTTTTCTGGCTGTACCAAAGAAATCCGTGGCTTCCATAAACGGTAAGTACAATTATTGCAACAATTAACAAGAAGTAAGTTTGTGCTTCAGACTGCAACAAGTTCATATTACAGTTACTGTCCTTTTAAATATGTGCTACTCAGTAAGTTTCTGGTTGTTACAACGTCCTAATGATAACCCCATTTTAAGTAGACCCAAAATTCAAACCCGAACGCCCATGTTTTCAGCGTGGAGCTTTAGTTGCAGTTAAACCGCTAAGGGACGCAGCACAGCCTGTCTACTTTCCGATTGATGCTTCTGTATCCATAACGGCTGTAGGTGGTCGGCCGGAAATTGTGATGGAGACAGTAGACGAGTCAGTCATATTTCTGGAGGCAAAGCAAGTGTGATATAACGTTCTCAGATTCAATTTTTACTACCTTTATCAATAAAAAGTGAGCTTTCTTTAAATATGAAAAATTATGTATTATCGAAATATCAATAAAATTATTCATCATAAAATTAGCCATAAGAGCTTGTAGTACCACTATACTTTGCACAATTTTCGGCAATCTGAGTGTTTGGAAATTGGTAATCACTATAGTGAGTGGACGATTGTTGGTGCTTAGTAAAATTTTGCTGAATACTTTGCAGTGCAACTTCTAAAGATGATTCAGTTGTTAACGGAGATGTTTCAGCCGGGAAACGCGTTAACGTCCGAGCTTTGGTTGGAGGTGCGCATAACGTAGTGTCGTGTTGTTTCGTTACGATTATATTGTACTTGTGGCTACAGGTACACACTATTTAATCCACGCGAAGCTGTCACAGAACAGACAGAATATCGTGCGTTCCTATGAAACAATGACCTGTAAGTTTGTTTCATCTCTCACTGCAGTTAAAATTGAAGATTACCCGTCTGGTAAAACGATAAGTTTTCCAGAACCCAAAATAACTATTTTGATAGATCCTTTTCCTCCGGTTGATATTTCTACCAGCGAAAACATGACAACCACGGAGAGCATCATGTTGGGATGGTCCACACCATTTAACACTCGCATTCAAGGCTACCAGATTCTGTATCAAGGCTACGATGTCGGTGGCATCCCGGCTCCACTGGATCTGAAAATGATCAACGTTTCCAACGCGGTCGCTACGAGCTTCAATGTGACAGGATTAGAACCAAGCAAAACGTATTCATTCCGAATGAGAAGTTTTGTGGAAAATGTTTCAAGTGTGGAGACTCCAGCTTCCTTGTACTGCACCCGTAAGAATATGTCGATTAGCCGGCCGTACTGCATTTTTCAAAGTGAATATAAACAAACAAAAATCACGCATTGATAACTATTAGGTTAAAACTGCATTTCCGAAATGTTCGTTTGACAAGGCACGTTAACGGGGTTCAGCACCCCGCAATTGCTTCTTTACAGTAGAGTATTGTGTTGGTGCATTGGGAACCTGGTAACACGTCAGTTCCCCGGCCTTCGATTCGGTTGACCCACAGACAGATCATTTGGCGGTCGCATAACGCATCTCAGCATGCAGTTAACCGGTGTTGTTGCAGGCCCACTCCAACCCAGCTTCACGGTGGAACCTTTGCCGGGCAAGCTAATGTTGCAACTTCAGAGACCGTCTAATAGCACAAAATATTTCCGGGTGAAGCTTCTGAACCTGGATGTCAAAGATCATCCAGTGCGCGAAATCATCATTCTCAGTGACTCAATGGTTGTCAACCGTTCCATTGACATTGAGTATGAGGGAGCGACGTACGAAGTTCGTGTGGCTGCCGTTGCTTGCGACCTCTTCAGCGAGGAAGTGTCGCAGATTGTCCATTCGCGTAAGTTTATAGTAACTGCCTTCTTGTTGATAGGGAGACAACACAACAGTAGACCCTGTAAGGACTTGCCACTTGATTCCCCTCTGGCCTTTCTTTGCTCGGGCAGTGAGGCCTACTGAGGCCGTACTCGTATGGTCGTTTAATTGAAACACTATGATAAGTGAATGAGCGATGGTCGTTTAAGTGAAAGTGGGCCGGGCACACTTTCACTTAAACGACCATATGGGTTGGAAACTACGGCGCCATTGACCTGATTTCGAAAAGGGTGGAACAACACTGTCAGTTAGTACTACTTGTTTGATAACTACACTGTACAAGCCGTCCGGATGATGAGCACGATAGAGAACAGCGAAAAATGTAAATTCATGGATTACGCCAAACAAGATACTACGCAACACCACGCCAAACTGTTCAACCACGTAACATGCCTTTGGCTGGCTGGTGGCCTGGTGCACGCCATATATTTCAATGCAAATAATCGTAGTTGCCTGGCGGAAGGTGGCCAGAAAACGGTCGGTGCAGTAAGGGACAATCTAACTGCGGAGCGCATTTACGCATTGTGGCAAACGTAGTGTAGTGGCCATCGTGCTAAGCGCTAACATCGCCCTTAATACATATGCGTTAGCTGTACCTTTACGTGCTCATTATCCGGACGGGCTTGTACTTCAGCATATTTTGCTCACTTTAAATACGAGTACTCTGAAGTATACGTTTTCATACATATACTAGAAATGTGGTTCAGGTGTTAAAATGCCCTCTGAAACAAAGTTACAGGAACGAAATTTCGAAGTTAGTTAGTTAGTTAGTTTTAAATTTCGAAGCATATTTTGCGTATTTCATATATACAATTCCATAAAAACAAGAATATACCACAACGCACAACAGGGGCTTAACCGGGTGCAACGCATAGAGCCTTATCTCCACATATACAATTTTCAGCAATTTACAATTTCCAAGAATTTCGATTTGTGCTGATAATTATAGTGCAGCAAAGTCGAGTCAATAAGGAAGTCGTGCGGTCTACAGATATTCATTTCGCGCGCTGCTGGAGGCGATGCCGGTGAAAATATTAAATAATTATATAAAAATACTCAAGTAAAGTGGGCGAATTATGCTCATTAAGAACTGAACTAAAACAATGTATATACAGCATATGTGAAGTACGGTAAAGTTACAATAATCCCCACGATATGACGCTATCGATGACTTAATTCAGTTCTGAATTTTTTTCGTAATCAGAAAATGTAGACCATCGAGTGATAACTCGGTCTTCACAAATGTGGAATATAGGTGTACTCAAAGAGGAAACGCACAATCCTGAAGCTTGTCGCCAGTACATCCGTCCTACTCCTTCCCGTTTCTCAGAGTAGACTGCCGCTGCATTACGGAAGAATCAAATGAAGATTTAAGAACCTAATTAAACTAAGGAAAAAACTAAGAAATTAAGAAAAACTAAGAAACTATTAAAAACTAAGAAGTCGAAGAAAACCTGCGCACTGGCGATAGCCTATAGTTACAGTGTGATGCATTCTTTGGGAATCCACCGCATCTTCCACATTCGTCAGGAGTGAGTTTGTAGTTTCTACCTCAAAAAATTAACGTCCAGCACAACGTTCGTACTCGGCATTAAATACTATGTCTAAAAAAGCGTATTATTAAAAATGTTTAAAAAAGCGTATTATCAATACCGTAATAAGTACGTTATACAGACAGCGAAACCACTTTACTAGCCTTTTATACGATTTGAACTCAACACTTTTGTTACGAACTATAGAAGTCATGTGAGAATTCACCGTGGTACATGATTTCCTAATTGGCTTTTTCCCGTAGTGCCACCAGCTGTAACGTTTTACTGGCCTCCCGTCGGATGTACCCCAACCTCCATCAGATTTGTTGTTAGCGACGACTGGAAATTCAAACGTGGCCTTTTCACACGATTCGTATTCGCGACGCAAGGAATTCCACCCAAATATATTTTGCCGAAAGATTATGACAGGCGTGTTGTGGAGTTAACTGGTCTCATTCCTGGGACAATTCATGAAATCCTCGGATGGACGGAACAAGGGGATGTGCAGAGTGAAAAGCGGTCTATGACAGTGCAGTTAAAGCCAAACAATGTTGTCGTGCTTCATGTTACCAATACCACCAGCAACGGTATTAATTTTTCTTGGGAGCCCCGCGTCGGGTTGCTCGAAGACTATTCGTTTGGTCACAACCAACCGTTTGGCAAAGAAGTACAAGCGCATCCAGGCTCTTGCTTTCCGGTGCGGCATACTAAATAAACGTACTGCAGTGGTTGGTACCCAATATATTCCACGTTTGATAAAATGTTGTGAAACCCTGAAAGTTCGTGACATCCAGAGCTAGAATACTGCAGTTCTAAACATATTTCGATTAGTTTTATATACCAAAATCACGGATACCGGCATCATTTTTGCTGTTTCGAGATATAACCTTTGTCGCCAGTAGTGTGGGCATCGAGCACCGTGTTTGGTAGCAGACCAGCATGATCCAGGCTGGAGAGTGTCAATAAAGTACTGCAGTCATTATATCATATAGCAGTCGTTTTAAATCGACGAACTATCGCCTAGGTGACGGTATGGCATTCTGTTGTTAGCGCTAAATTTTTCCTCGAACCAATCGTTGTCGTTTCTCCAAGACAGCTGATATACTCCATCCGGCCGCCGGTCGTCCACGTTGTTTGTCCCTCGCGGTTCCGGTACCACTGGCGTATTAGCGCTGACCGGGCTTCCTCGAATAACTTTGTTCGTTGACGATTGTCGTATGAAGTATCTTGTCCTCTTTTAGCTTAAAAGTCCATGGTAGCCACATTTACCCCCGGGCAAAGGTCAGTCGTACGTATACAGTTCTATCCTGTACACAGATCAGTAAACAGATCAACTTTTCCTTAAACAAGCTGCTGTAGGCTGTAGATGACCGTAGTGACTGAACGGGTAAAACGGCTTTTACGTATTTTATCCGACTCAAAAATCAGTAGATTCGACCTGATCAACTAGCTAGTGACTGACAGCACTGCATTTGAAACGAATGCTATAATATCTGCAGGTTCAAGTGAATATCTCTTTCTACGACAAACTGTGCACTATCGATCAACGCAGCAGATGGATAAACCTGCAAAAACTCTCCCACGCCAACGCTCGTAGTTATCCTTCTTGTTCGGCTGATCTGACCGAGCGGACCCTGGTATCCGTCAGGTTGTACTCGGACAGCAATTATACTGGTAACTGGCAAGCTTGTAAAGTTTTAAAGTTGTAAACGTTGTAAACTTGTAAAGTTTTAAACGTTGTTTTTGATAAATTCATTCTTCTTCGTTACGGTGCGTCAAGGATGCGGCTTCTGGTCTGGGAACTGTTGGTTGTTCAAAACAGCTAGAAGATTTGTTTTTTTTGTTCTAGCTATCGGATATTTGAGTTTTAGGTTTGAAAGGCGTTTGCTTGTATCATGATACTTATTAAATTTAAAGTGAAAAAAATTTATTCTTTCAGCGGTTGTTCATGTTTTTCAATTGAAATTTCCTCGTTGGGCTTTTTAGGGAAGTTTTTTAGAGTTTATACTTTGAAATTAGTGAGCGAAGTTTTTAATAAGCATGCTATTGATTTCTAGTAATTTTATTTGTCACGAAATTTTAACACCAGGTGATCGCGGCAAGTCTCGATTGCTATCCGGCAAGACAGTAAAACAGAAACATTATACTGGAATTAGTGGAATGTGATATGGTACTAGTTTCAAGTGGCTGATTGCATATTTTCCCAAATTTCGCTTATGCTTTCCCGTTTAGCGGGGTGGCAAATTGAAACATGTGCCTATTTCAAGTGCCATTTTATTACCAAAGACTTTGCGTGTGGCCAAAAGATACAATATACATATAAATAATTGTTTTATCGACAACAGCCAGTACTTCTATACATAATGACATGCCTGCGCTGGTTTACACTAATAAAAATGATCGAATTTAAACATTAAAAAAGCATCCAAAATCGTTATAGCCACTCGTGGCCTTCGAACGTGCAGGAAGTGTACCAAAAACAGCTGCAGCATTTCCACAGATTAAAGCTAAACTGAATCGTTGCCTTAGAAAGGCGGTAGATCGAGGTTCGCCGGTAACTTCACGGATCTTTCTGCCGCCGAAACGGATCAGCTCGGCAAAAGGCATTACGAAAGTCCCGAACGTCTCGACTGCCAGCGGGTAAAAACAGATATCCCATTTCTTCATTAAAATCGTATGTCCGACGCTGGCTTGCTTCGGCCAGTTGCGCTACACTTCCCGCTTTCTTCGAGCTGGCATGCACATGAGACAGCGCCACAGTATCCCAGCAAGTCGCGTCCCACACAAGCGCTTTACCATCCGGCACAGGCATCAAGGTTATGCCGTCTGGCCGCTTGTTATTACGTGCATACAATCCCACCGGTTAGCTTTGGCAAGGATAACCCGCAATCTCCAAGCCCCGTTTAACTTCGTTGTTCAGCTCGACGTGCCGCGACCATCTACCTTTACTGCTTGAGCAGGACAGTCCATGGTGGCCGTTAATCTCCACATGGCTCCCACAATTCACGCAGTCGTGTTCCTCTACAACAGGTAGCCCAAAACGTCGAGCGACGCCCACTCTAACTTCCTCGTCTCGCAGGAATGTACGCAGATTAGGTTCTGGTAGGGCATTTAACTAAGCGCCAGAGTCGCGGTGCAGGGCAGCCAGTAATACAGCCTTTTCCGTTTTTTTCGTGGCAGCTAACCTCAACGAGGATACGACACGGTCTATCGGTGGTCGATCCCATGTCCACTAGAACTTTCTGTTCTCTTCGGCTGGTGGCTCGCAAAGGGTGTACTCCGTCCACTGCTGTACTACAGGATCCAGGAGCGCCGCCGTCGCGGGCTGGTAGATTTCCGAGACTAACGCAATCACCGAATACGCCGATGCCGAAAAGGCAGGAAAGACAAGCGATTCAGTAGTTCGCAGCCCCAGTCCACCATCCCTAACTGGCAAGGTAATCTGGCTTCACTGCAGAACTGTGGCTCGTATATTCAGCATGGATTGCATGGCGGCGCGCACACATTCGTCCATAGTTTTCATAAGCGCCATGTGCTCGTAGCATCTCGATGTGCGGAAGCCGTATAACAACTTGGGAATCAACAAGCAGTTTTTCAACAGGTGCAGGCTAAAATGCGCTGGTATTTCGTTAAGGCGGCCAAGAAAAACTTTCAGCTGAGCACACTTGCTTTGTAGGAACGTGACACACGATGCTGGTGTCAAGGGAGCACCCAGGAGAACAAAATCCCCTTCACTAATGACGCACATCTCGGGCCATACATTCAACACACGTTGTGTAGCGTGCTGGTGGTTTGCAGAAAATTGTCTTACTGCATAAACTTCACATTTATTTAAGTTCAGCTCCAGCCCCATTCTGGAACCACGAAATATTATTGAACGCACTGCCATTATCACTTTCTCCGCCGGTCCAGCGAGTGTGACATCGTCCAAAAAACCAACTGCAACCTCGCACGGTAAGCCGTCATAAAGTGGTAGAGTGGCCAGGGTGTATCCAAAAGGGCCATTCGGATCTCCCAGTTGTACTCCCGTCTCTGACGAAAGTTGCAATTCACCACAGGACAGACGGGACGAATGGCGATAACATTGCCAAAAATACTGGTAGTAAGCTGGGAATTTAGAACGTATGGCAGCAAGGAGGACATCACGGCGCAGTGTGTTAAAGGCATTTCGGAAATCCAGTTTAACGATCACCTTTGCGTCCGTGTGTACCGCTTCCGCGAAGTTCCTAACTGCATGCACCGCCGCTTCCGCTCCTCCTCGGATCCCAAAACCAACTTGAGAAGGGCGGAACATCGCGGCGGCTTCGTCAGCGCATCGTTCACCCACGATCTTAGGCCACACTCTTCTGATAGTTTCACCGACAGCTATTGGCCACAAGCCGCCGTCCTTCTTACATAACGGCACAAGGTTCGCTCCAAAGATGTATGGCCTGATGGCTTATGGTACTTCTTTTTGGAGCGCCCTGGTAGACAAGTCTGCAAACGCGACACATAGCTCACTCAAAGTGTCATCCTTACGGCCAAGGAGATCTTTAAGGTCAAAAACCCCTCCAGCAGATCCAGGCGGGAAGCTGAAAACAGCTGACATAAGTTCGGCCGGAGAAACTGCTGGAGTTCGAATGGAATCGTCAGGTGGCGGTGGGAACTGACAATCATCTGGTGCGGGTGGATGCTTATCGCGAAGTGACTCCACTGTGCGGGCATTGATATCTGCAAGCTTGTCATCCGCTAGCAACGCTCTGATGGCTCCTTTAACATTGCCATCTTTGCATCATAGATGATACCTGGGCGCGCAGTCTGTCGGGTCTCGCACCTTCGTTCGTGGCCTGCTCGCGGAGGGGGGTCGTCTGGCGCTTGTCCAAGGACAGATCAGCGAGGCTCTTCCTAATAATTGTAACAAGAGAGTCTTTCCGTAGAGACTTCGCTGGGAGGAGCGAGAGAGCAGTAGGCGCAAAAAGCAACAAAGCAGTCCAACTGGCTGAATCGTTGTTTCGGCGCAGTCGCGGACTAGATCAGTCAAAAATCCGGGCACACTGCCGTCGCACCGCCTTTGGGATTCCTTTAGGGATATTAGTAGCGCTCCTCTTCAATAAAAGCCTGCAGGGGATGCTTCGGTGGATCGCTTGGTTACGATGGTGGGGACAGGTTGGACAGAGAACCGGAGGTCTGCTTGCGGGAAAATGCTCGCACATGCAGTTACAAACCCGCGCCTTGCGTAAATAATCTTGGGCAGTGAGGGCATGGCTGATGGCGTACCATCGTGAACAGAACATAGAAATGGAAGAAGGCCCACCTAGAGTGTCCTGACGAGGGCAGGATACACCAGAGGATCAGTCTGCCGCGAGCAGCATCCCATTTTGTGGCACTTTCCCGCTCCGTGATATGGCTCGATGAACTACCAGCAGCAACACTGGGAAACTCCTGAACGATTCCGCATTAAGAATTGCTATTTGCCTGCGCCTGGGAACACCGATCGTTACTCCGCACCGATGCATTTGCGGTGAATGAGTGGATGCTCGAGGCTACCATGGCTTGAGCTGTCAGAAAAGCCGGGGCCGGAAGTCAAGACACAGCAATTTAAACGCCACGCTGAAAGTAGCATTCGCCTCAGCCATCATTGAGACAGAACTCGAGCCCCTGGGAATATCGCGAATCAACGGCATAGGCCCTGACGGAGTCACTTTAGTACCAGGGCAACGAGCCAATATGTTAACATGGGATGTCACTTGTGTGTGTACGATGGCGCTTTCACATATTATTGCAGCAACATCCACCGAAGCTGGCGCAGTAGCTGCACAGGCCGAACGGAAAAAAACCGTTAAGTACCAGACATCATCCAGGACTACCTGTTCCGTGCGGTGGGTGTGAAGACAGTGGGACCACTCGGACCGGAAGCATCCCGGCTGCTCAGCAAAGTAGGCAGGATCATATGGCATGAAACGAG